TTAGCGTGGGAATCCAATTTGCATTAGGGATAGATAATTGTTCCGTGTAATAATAATAATAATAATCAGCTCTTAGATTCTGGGGATCAAAAATTCCCAGTGCTAGAAAAAAAAATCCAAAATGCATTAGCTCTCCTGTGTAAAATGCTAGCCTGCAAGGCTCACAAGAGTTAGCATGTTTATGAGTCATTTAAGGGAGGACTTGTTTTGAAAAGGCGTGGGGAGAGGAGGGAAAGTGTATTTCAGTTCATTTACTTCTATTTTATTCTCGTTTAATTATATGGGAGCTAGTATGCAATGGGGAACAACACTAAAAAGAGAATTTAAACCTGTTTCCTCCCCCTACTGTGCTGGGGTGTGTGTGCAATTCAAACAGAATTGCATTGTGCAGTTTTAAAAACAAACACACTTCTTGAAGGCACAATACTGTTCAGTAACAACCCTCAATATAAATAAATTAATCTGTGTGTTTTTGTTTCTATTCTATACCAGTTTTGTTTTTGTTTTAATCATAGTGCAGGGTAGGGAGTAAGTAGAAGAATAGCACTGAAACCTAAATCTCTTATGAAATAAATAAAATAAAAATAAAAATTTGTCCAGTAGCACCTTGGAGACCAACCAAGTTTGTTCTAGGTCTAAATCTCTTATGATTATTGATAGGTCTGTGTTGTTCTTTGGCAATCTGGTTAACCTTGCAGTTCAGTACCTGAGCTCAGCATACTCTCAGCACATTATAGGCTTATCTTTGGAACCAATTTTCTCTACTGTCATAGGTGCCTGTGGCTCCACAAGAGTGGCCCTCATCCTAATTGATGGTCACACAGTTGAGGGTTTTGTCAGATTGGGAAGTAGAAATTTCCTCACCAACTTCCTTAATGGTCCATCACCTTTGGACAGGATCCCGATGGTCTGTAATGAAGACTCTGGCAGTTGAGAATAGCCCTTGTTGACGTCTGTAGTGCCAGAAAAGAGGCTGACATAGGAGAAAGTTTTTGGATTCTTGTTCAGTCTCTTTTGGTGACTTTTGAGAGTGAACAGATTGAGTTCTTCATTGTGAGCCTGTGTGGGAAGAAGGCCTGGGGAGCTCCCTTCTTCGGACCTGGGCTCCTCCTACAATGCAGCTAGGGATGGACGGAGTCAACCATTTCAGTTTCCATATCTTAAGTTCACTTCTCCCTGCTTCCACATCAATTTGCAAAGCCTGGGTGAGAATTGGTGTGCATGTTGGCGTGCCCTTCTCCTAATAGACACATTTTTGCAAGCAGTTTCTCCTAATGTTATGTGTCTTGAATGTTGTTTAAACAGACACACTTGTTTTTCTTTACGTTTGCTCTGATATATGCTTCTTTGTATGCATTGCCTGGCTGGAGAACTGCATTACAAAATGGGGAGAAATGTGCATTTTGAAGGATAGATGGGTTTGGTTTGGTTTACGTATTGTTCCATGAGGTGCATACTAGGTAGGTTCATATTAAAATGCAAGCTGAACAAATTTCTTTTCCCACTTCCCCGTCCACATCCTAATACCAGCTTTGTGGCTCCAGGTTATTCCAACTTCACATGTGCATTTCTGTGTGTTGCAGATGAGATGCTAGGAGTTTCAGATTCTATTCTCCCATGTTACATGAAGAGAAACCGTAATACTAATTTACCTCTTAAATGGAAACAAAGTTTAGGTATTTTCTTGAGCACTGCTCAGAAACCATTGGATTGCCGAGAGAATTTTTCTTTTGCTTGGCAAGGTGTAAAATGCACAAGTAACAAGTTGCCTAACTCAGTAACTAACTTGCCATTTTTTTATTTTATTTTAGGTATTCTTTGCTGAAGATGTAGGTTCGAACAAAGGCGCCATCATTGGACTAATGGTGGGAGGTGTTGTCATTGCTACAGTAATTGTCATCACTTTGGTGATGCTAAAGAAGAAACAATATACCTCTATCCATCATGGTGTAGTGGAGGTAAGTGAAAGTTACTAATAATTATTATGTGAATGGACAATAGCAGCCAAACAGAGCTTATTCCCTTCTATGAAGTCAACTGGATTGCTCCATTTTCAGACTGGATTTTGTTTTCCAGTTGCAAAACCAGTTTGGCTTATGGAGGGGGTGGGGCGCAGGGGAAATAATACTGTGAGTCTGATTTCAAATTGTAATTATAAAATTATATCAAATGCTGCTGCGGTGACAGAACAGACTCCCCCTTTCTCTCCTTTTCCCTGTGGTCATCCATGTACCATGAAAATCTGCTCCAAAGAACTTGGGGGACTCTCTGAAGCAATTGGGGGGGGGGCACTGCAGTGGGTAGGATAGGAAGGGACAGTTCTGTAACATGACTGGAACTTTGCTCTCACAGCATTAGATACAAACATGAAGCCATAACTAGTTTTGTGGTGTGGTTTACATGGTCCCTGTTCCCAGGTCCCAAGGATACGCTGGAGAACTCTGTTGAGTGACATGCTAACTTTTGCATCTGCAGGGGGGAAAACATTAAGGGATGTTTAAATGGGAACAATTCAAGCAATTGGCCTGTAGACAGTCTCAAACCCCAGCTACAGCTAATGGGTTGAAAGCAGAATGTGACCGATCCATACCAAGTCTGTAGAGTGTTATGGATTATTTCATTATGAACTGATAGGTAAGGCAGAACAAGAGCTGAAGATTGTCAATATAGATTTGTTCAAGCTGCTGCTGAGCACATTCTTATGTAGGGGATTTGAGCGTAGCGCTGGGAAGCCGAGACATTCTCTAAGGACACCCAAAACTTGATGGATTGGAATGGCTAATATAGCTAGGCTGAGCATTCCTCTGCTTCTTGAAAAAGCTTAAAAGGGGTAAAAAAAACCCACGTTCTATCAATGACAGGTTTTGGACCTTCTTCAAAATGTAAGAATTGTTCTCATTTTCCTAGTGTGGAAATGGGAGGGGTCAGTGGGGACATGGAGCCTTTTGTCTTAGGTAGAATACAATTTCTGGTTGTGCCAGAAGTGGTTGAGTCATGCTGGCCACATGACCCGGAAAGCTGTCTATGGACAAACACTAGCTCCCTCAGCCTGAAGCGAAATGAACGCCGCAACCCCATAGTCACCTTTTACTGAACTTAACCGTTCAGGGATCTCTTATAACAAAATTTAAAAATAAAGCTGATAAGGGCATATGTAGAATACATAGCAGAAGTACAGATACCTGCTCTATTTCAGCAGTTAGTGAGAGTATCAGTTGTGCTAAGTATGCAGAAATTACTTTCCCAGAGCAGGATTTTTTTTTTAATTAATGAACATTTGAAGCAGCTGTGGGGAACCTTTAGCCCTCCATATGTTGCTGGACTCTCATTCTTAACAGCCGGGAGCTGGCCAACGGCCAGGGATGATGGGAGTTGTTGTTCAGCAGCATCTGGAGGGCCAAAGGTTCCCCACACCTGATCTGAAGACTGCTGAGACGAATTTCGCATGATCGCAATGTCATTTTTTGTGAGCAATAAAAAGTAACCCTTGAGCAGTATATTCTCTGCAGTGCTTCACTATAACTGCTGCATTTTTTCTATGGACACCAAGAATGCCTATTCTAGTGGGAATGTATGCAAGTGACTAGAAATTAGACTTTTCTTAAGTTAAATGTTAGGAATTAATTGGTGGTGCCTTTTGGGCCATTTGCCGCATTTTATTTTATATTGTTGCGATTTTGCTCTTTTATTACTTAATATGAATAAAGGTAAAGGGACCCCTGACCATTAGGTTCAGTCGTGACCGACTCTGGGGTTGTGGCGCTCATCCCGCTTTATTGGCCGAGGGAGCCGGCATACAGCTTCTCGGTCATGTGGCCAGCATAACTAAGCTGCTTCTGGCGAACTAGAGCAGTGCACGGAAACGCCGTTTACCTTCCCGCTGGAGCGGTACCTATTTAGCTACTTGCACTTTGATGTGCTTACGAACTGCTAGGTTGACAGGAGCAGGGACCGAGGAACGGGAGCTCACCCCGTCGCGGGGATTCGAACCGCCGACCTTCTGATCGGCAAGTTCTAGGCTCTGTGGTTTAACCCACAGCGCCACCCACGTCCCACTTAATATGAATACTATCCTTTTAAAACAAGTTTAATGAATCCAGTTCAAATGAATGCGACTCTTAATCTCAGGTTTGTGGGTTCAAGTCCCACATTGGGCAAAAGATTCCTGCACTGCAGGGTGTTGGACTAGAAGACCCTTGTGGTCTCTTCCAACTCTACAATCTGTGATTCTGTGAACCAAACTAACATAGTTGATAAGGTACCTCAGTTCAGCTGTAACATGCAGCATATAAATCCTTTTATAAATAAAAAGATAGTTTAGAACAGAGAGTTTGCACCCACTCTTCTTCTGCATTTGTGAACATGCAAGGGGACAGCAGCATCAAGCCTGTTGGCAGCATGCATACACTCTTGGTGTGCTTCACACACGAAGGACTCCTCAAAACTTAACCCAGGCATAGGCAACTCGCCCTCCAGATGTTTTGAGACTACAATTCCCATCATCCCTGACCACTGGGCCTGTTAGCTAGGGATGATGGGAGTTGTAGTCCCAAAACATCTGGAGGGGCGAGTTTACCTATGCCTGACTTAACCTCAAGAAGAGCCCCTGCTGGATCATGGCAGAAGCCCATGAAGTCCAGTACCCTGTTCTCCCTCACATTGCCGTTTCACAATGGCACTGAGTGTGTAGCTCCCAGAATACACATCGGCATTGGTGTCTATTGCTAATCTGTGAGATTCTGTGACTGGGCACCATGGTATGTACAGTCAATGTACACACCTACTGCCTCTCCCCACCAAACACACACATCTAGAGTCTTTCAGCATGACTTGTGAAAGAGGTTGCTCCTGCAAACTGTCAGGACACTGATCCTCAGCAGAGACCCTGGTCTGCTGGCTTCGAAACATAGGAAGATTTTTGATACTGAGTCAGACAATTGGTCCATCTCTTTTCTACGATAACAGGCAGGGTTTCAGGCAGTGTTCTTTTCAGCCCTACCTAGAGATGCTGGGGAACCCAGGACGTTCTGCTTGCAAAGCAGATGCTTTACCACTGAGCTACAGCCACTGAGCTTCAAAGAGTTGACCAGGAGGTGTGGGAGGGGGGACAACCCTATTTCTTCCATTTACACTGTCAACGTGAGAGTTGTGTGCTGCCCGTGTGGGACCATGACTCTGGTCTTCCTTCTACCTACCTTAGGTGGATGCCGCAGTGACACCAGAGGAGCGCCACCTGTCCAAGATGCAACAAAATGGCTATGAGAATCCAACCTACAAGTTCTTTGAACAGATGCAGAACTAGAACACCACAGCAGCCTCATGAGTTGGACAGCAAAATGATTGCTTCACTGCCCATTGGTGTTCAGTTAGAGAATAATGTGGAAACAAGCAAGAACGAACAAACACTTTGTTTTATTATTTACTCATTATCGCCTTTTGACAGCTGTGCTGTAACACAAGTAGATGCCTGAACTTGAATTATAAAATCAGTAATGTATTCTTCTCTCTCTTTACATTTCAGTCTTTACACTACATTATTAATGAATGTTTTTTGTGTACTGTAAAGTTTAGCTGTACTTAACTAGTGCATGAATAGCTTCTTTCCCAATTATTTATCATATAGCTCCTTTAGCCAGTTGTATATTATTCTTGTGATTTGTGAAGGGGGGAAATTAAGTCCTAATTGAAATATGCTTTAAGAATCGATGGGGGATGCTTTCTGTGTACGTGGGGTTGAGCTGCTTCTCTTTGCTGAGTTTTCCTTTTTCTGATCACTATGCATTTTAAGGTCAAAATGAATTTTTCTTCTTTCTTTTTTTAGAAAAGTATTCCAGATGAGTTGAAATTATTTTCCTCTGCAGTTGCATTTTATTGTACAGATTGTTGCTTCTGCTGTATTAGTGATGTAGAAATCATGGGAATACACGTTTGTTTCTTTGTGCCTGTTTTATGTGCACACCTTAGGCATTAAGGGGATGAACTTTCCTTTCCCATGTATCTTTTCATATTTTAAAAAAATAAAAGGAATCCTTGTTAATTGTGAGCACTTTTATAGGGGGGCGGGGGGAAGTGCCTGCTGGTTGAAAAATTAACAGGGATCCTACAAGCGTTTCTGCAGGATGATTGTACAGAATCATTGCTTATCAATTGATAGCTTTCTACACTGTGTTACATAAATAAATTACAAATAAAACCAATGGGCAAGAGTTTTATTTGAATGAAGAACTAAGTATTTTGGGGGTGACTTTAACAGTAACCATCAAATGTTCAAACATAGGGGGTTGGGTGGTGGTTGGTTTTTGTTCTTTTTCTTCCTTTCCAAGTAGACCTGATTCATAGATTTCCCATTTTGAATATAGTGGAACAAAACAGCGGTGGGTGAGAGGGCTGTTTGCTTGGGCATGCCTTCCCTCTAAAATGTCCTTTTTTTTCAGTTTGTATAATAGTGTTTTAATGTAAATAAATACATTCCTGGAGGAGCTCCATTGTAGTGGTGTGAGTCTGTAGCAGTTACCTTGAATTTTCTGCTTGATGGTTTGTATAGGTTGCACATTCATTACAGAATTCAGTACTCCGGCTTCTCCAACAAGCGTAGAAACCAGGAAACTGTTCGCTGAATGGCACTCTTCTGTTAGAACTTGTGCAGCGCTATTGGTTTCCTATTGAAATTGGAAATGCAATGGCTTCTCCTATTGCTCAGTCAGGTCATTACCAGAATCTCAAACGCTGGTTGCTTTTTTTAGAACAAGGAACACTTGAGGAAAGAACAGGTTGGCTCATCAAATGGCAGGTCAACGTGCACCCCAGTCAAGGTTTTAACAAGGTAGGAACAATTCTGATGGGGCTACCTTCTATAAAATGCGCTCCCTCTTCCACCTTAGACAGTTCCAACCCCCAGTTTCTATGACAGTGATGACATGCAAACTGACCTAGGAAAGATCCAGCTGCACAGACGTTGAGCTTAAAGTGGTGAGTTGCCATTTCACAGTGTCATGTTATTTCATTTTTTTGTGACAAAATATGCAATCTGGTATAGAACTTGGCCTTCTGAAATTCTGTTTTCATTTGTTTAAACTTCCTAAGGGTGCAGGGAGATGAAAAGGCCTGGCAAGCGATTTCTGAATCTAAGCAAGCCAAATGGCTTTAGGTATGACTTTCAGCAAGGTTTTCGGAAGCCTGCTTCCCCACAAGCAGACCACAGTATAGAGGAAGTTTTTAATGTTTGATGCCTTACTGTGTTTTAATTTGTTGGAAGCCACCCAGAGTGGCTGAGGCAATACAGTCAGATGAGTGGGATATAAATTTGTTGTTGTTTGTTGTTAGAAGAAGAAGAAGAAGAAGAAGAAGAAGAAGAAGAAGAAGAAGACTGTTCATTAGATGGGACCCTTGATCCACTTAAGTGTTAAGTGTTCAGGGCACTTTGACTCTCAGTCAGCCTGGTTTTTCAGCACGCATATTGTAGCTACTATATATGGTAATTTTTATTTCAGCAAATCAAACCAAAAATTTAGAATAGTCAGTAAGTGCTTTTAGACATATGCATGCAACCTATAAGGGGCATGGTGTTTGTTCAATGATGCTACCTTGTGAATCTGAACACTACAAATATAATAATAATAATAATAATAATAATAATAATAATTTTTTATTTATACCCCGCCCTCCCCAGCCAAGGCCGGGCTCAGTGCGGCTTACAAGCAACAATAAAAACAAGATGAATGATTACAACTTAAAAACAAAAATAAAATACATTAAAATAATGGAACATTAAAATATTAAAATGTAGCCTCATCGCAGGAGGAGAAGGAAAAGAAAAAAGAAAGAGAGGGAGGGAGGGAATCAAATTGGCTCCAAGCCAAAGGCCAGGCGGAACAACTCTGTCTTACAGGCCCTGCGGAAAGAAATCAGATCCTGCAGAGCCCTGGTCTCATGAGGCAGAGCGTTCCACCAGGCCGGAGCTAGAGTTGAAAAGGCCCTGGCTCTGGTTGAAGCCAATCTAACTTCCTTAGGGCCTGGGACCACTAGGGTGTTGTTATTTATGGACCTTGAGGCTCTCCATGGGGCATACCAGGAGAGGCGGTCCCGTAGGTACGAGGGTCCTAGGCCGTGAAGGGCTGTAAAGGTCAAAAGCAGCACCTTAAATCTGACCCTGTACTCCACCGGGAGCCAGTGCAGCTTGAAAAGCACTGGGTGAATATGCTCCCATGGCAGAGACCCCGTGAGGAGCCTCGCTGCAGCATTCTGTACCCGCTGGAGTTTCTGGGACAGCTTCAAGGGCAGCCCGCGTAGAGCGAATTACAGTAGTCAAGCCTGGAGATGACCGTCGCATGGATCACTGTGGCCAGGTCGGGGCGGGAAAGGTAAGGGACCAACTGCTTGATGCGGCGAAGGTGGAAAAATGTCATGTCCAAGTGGTATCTTTGGCATTAGTGGTGACAAGAAAACACCCACATTTGGGTGATGGGTTTTTAAAAAAATGTTCTTTTATACCTTACTTAGTATTTTGGTAAGGATGTATTCTGAAACATGGAGGACCACAAACAGTAACTCCCTAGAAGACCCAAGTGACCAGGCTGGCATGTAAGGGATTAGGCAGTACTTGAGGAATCCCAGACACAAATTGTTAAGGCTCACCAAAAGGACTTTGGCAAGTGCTCCAGAAAGGTACCTTCACTGTCAAGTAGCTCTGCAATTAAAGAAATGTTGGACAATTTAGAAGCCAACCAATCATTAATGCCCTAGCTTAAGGCACCAGTAGTGCAGACATACATTGCAGATACAGGGTTTGCTGGATATATAAACTCATAGTGGATCACCTGGGAAGAGACCTGGTCTCGGAAGAGGCCTGTCTGGTGAACAGTCTTTGAAATCACGCCTCCCCCGCCTGCCTCCCGGTCACGTTGATACCACTTCTGTGCATTTTGATAGGCAGAGTGGCATAAGATAAAACTTGAGCACATGTTGAGCTGAAAGCAGAAAGGACTATGTGGGGATTAACCTTGCATCCCTTGTCGGCACATCAGATCTAAGTACAGATTTCATTGGGGGAGGGGGACCAAATTCTGGATTTCTGAAGGATTTTTATTTGAAATCCACTTGTCTTTCACTCAAGGACAAAGCAGAAATGAATGCAACTTGCCAGTTTTCATCTTTAGGTTTCTGGGGTGTACCTCTGAACTACAACTCAACCAGTTACTAATGCACTGCATCCTTTGGCTGTTGCCAAGGCAGCTACCTGGTTTCATCGAGGCCGAAAGCAAGGCACAAGATGTTTAACAAAAATAGCTCAAATCTACAAGCTGCTTTGCAGAGCTGCCCCCACAGCCTATTATTTTATCCTGCTGCTTTTAAATACAACTCCTGTGAGTTTGGGATGCTGTAGGACTGAAAAAGTACCACTGATACATGCAGTGAAATAATCCAGCAAGAATAGAGGTTATTCTGCTGTTTTACAGGTACACTTCCAGAATAGCCAAGATGGGCTCTGCTGGGGTTCAGAGCAACAGCAGAAGCAGATTAGAGCATTTGTGACAATATACATAAGACTGAAAAATAATGATGCTAACTCGGATAGTAAAAAGGTAAAGAAATCCATCTTAAGATATATTCGTTGTATACACAAACTGAAGCACTGTTGTCTTAGGAACTTTACCGATTTCCTTAGTGCCATTATTTTGCAAGAATTACCCATTACTATTATTGCAAACACTGAAATTATGCTGAAGTTACACCGGGTGACATCCAGTGGCAGTTCATACAATTTCAACCTGCACAATGGATTTTTTTCTTCCTCCCTGTAGCCGTTTGTGTGACCCCAAAATCGGCTTCTTAGATTTGGGGGAATTCCCAGAGCAAATTTTGGGGCTTTATGGAAGTCTACCCAGATGAAGAAAGGAAAGCACCATTGCACAGCTTGACATTTGTTTCGCAATCAAGCAAAATGTCTACCAATGAATTTAAGAGATGAACAAACTGCAGAAATGCTGGAGTAATGATATTTTTTATCATTTGCATTCTCTCTTCCTTTTCTACTACATGTCACATCTACTAAATTTACTAAGAAAACACTGCAAAAAGTTATATACACTTTGTGAATGTACAGAAGACAAAACATTTTGTTGTGTAAAATTTTATTTTCTTACTTTACTATATTGACAATTTTATGCACAAATATTTTAGAGTAAAAATAGAAAATAATTGTTTTATGTAAAATTCAACACAAAAGAAATACATAATTAGCAGAATATGTGTCCTTAAAGAGTAAAAATGTATGCAAAAACCCCTCCATTTTACAAAAAATTGGGAATATACCTTCTATATTTTTCTTCTGACAGCCACACAATGCTATTTGACATACAATAATCCATACCTTACTGAAGACCTCGATTAGTCACAGATTGTCCCCACAATAAATCTGACACGTATGTACTGTTTTTAAAACACATCAGTACTCTATACATGGGGGAAATATTACAAGAAGTGCAGCAAACTTACAAAGGAAGTATAATGAAATTTTAAAATTCAGAAAACAAATCCAATGTATATATAATTAAAGGCCATGTGCCATGTTTACTAATATGGCTTATTCTGTTATGTGCAATTATGTGCATAGCTGAGAGTATATTTATGACAGCATTAATATATGTAATTTGTGGTCACCCTTGTCTATCCCAAGGTTTACCGGCGGCCTTCTTTTACAGGGAAAAATTAGATGCCTGTACACTTCAAACACATCTTAAAGAGATGCATATTAACTAGTAATGTAAGTTATGTTGCTTGTCTTCCTTAGCACTACATAAAATGTCCAAACCCTTATTTTTAGGAATGCAGCTTCTCTCCCCTCCCCTTCCCACCCCAGCTATGGACTAATGGCTCCAGTGATGCATAGGAGAGTTCAAAGTCTTGATATATGATTAAAGTGGGTTTTTTGAGAGAAAACATATTTTTAACCAGCTTGACTAACAGCATAAAATATTAGTGTAACTTAAACTGCAATCCTGTAATGTTAAATACAAGTCCCACTGGAGTCAATGGACTTAACCGGCCATCAGAAACATTAAATGTCACCCAAAGGTTTAAACACTTTCTTTGCCTAATGATGTTTAAATACCAGAATATCTTCTACGTTTCTAAGCAGTCTGAAAATAAGCAAATGAGTCGAGCTGTAACTACAGCTACAATCTTACATTCCCAAGACTAAGCTACATTTTATGTTCAGTGCTTTTTTTCAGCTCGTGAGTGATTTGCTCTTACAGATGAAGGCCCTGTTTAACATCTGCACTTTCACTGATTGTTAAGTGAAACCACAACTTCAAACAAGTTTGTTCTTCTAATTGTGATGATTCAACAAAAAGCCTACATTCAGAACAAAGGGATATTTATACCAAACAAAGGGAAGACGAAGAAAAATAGCATAAGCTCATCTAGATTTAATTTGGTTATCTTTTAAAAAATGTTATCAAATTAATTAACTATGAGTGATACACACCCTTTCCTTTCCAAAGCATCATAACAACAGCTTGGAAATTTAAGTAATTTAAAGAAAACTGCATTTTTCTGTATCTTAATACAGAGGTCTATATAACATTGAGAAGTCAAACTTCTTTTCTTATCAATTTACCTGCAGATTACATTTTATTTCTCAACAGGTAGGGGCTTCTCTCTGTGATTAACTTAAGTCTTCAGATCAAAGTCAGCTACACTGCAAGTATAAGCAGAATCAGCTGATATACTCTGCAGTGTAGATTAAAACAAAGCAAAACCTATTCTTTGGATGAGAGACAGCATTTCAAGTTTTTAATCTCGTAATAGGAAAAATGTGGAAAACTTTTTTGTGCCAGACATTAAGCTTAGCAATGTCTCTCAAGATAGTTAAGCACTTTCCCTCAAATACACGTTATCTACATATTTTATCAAAATACTCATAATTGGTTTTTGACCTTGCTGGACTTAAATTTGGATTTCTCTTCAGCAGTGATCTCCCAGTTCTGCCTATAGTACACTTCTTTTGCGATGAGAAATCATCTTAGGAGCATGGTACTTTTCGGTGTGTTTTTTACAGCCTGACATGCTTAGATAATGAGCATGGGTAAGAGTAGCTGCCTTACCTCTGGAAATGCATTGCTTTTAATTTGGTAGCTTAGAAATGGAAGTGCAGAGAACTAAATTCAAAATATTGACAGGTTTACACCGTGTAAATATGCTTCAATTTCTCGAAACGCTGGACAAATTGTGAGTATGGCATAACATGGCACCAACCAATTTTGAGCTCTCTTACCGATCCAGCAACTTGTCACATCATGTCTGTCTTCATGCTGAAGAATCTGGAGTGCCTTTAACATACATGAAATATATACCTTTACGTGAAAAAGATCCAAATTTATGGGAGTCTCAGTTCTCCGTAGAAAAACCATGCATCATATTGAACTGCCAAGGAATGAAGTAGCTCCCATTTTAGGACCAGAAACTGCTCAATATACAAGAAAGGCCTCATGCTCCCAAGCTTTTAGGTCCTGGTACTCAGTTATCTTTTTCTGTTTGCAGAGATGCCGTAGCCAGTGCAACTGCTGTGACGGGTTGTGCAATACCATGGAGTTGCATCTTTGCCAGTTTCTTTTGTTCACACTCCGTGACCAACCGGTTCAACTCTGCTGCGCTGTACCCAATGAGAGTCTTCAAGTCACAGACAAATTTGTATACAAACCTCTTGCCTTGCACTTTGCAGATCATGTCTCCATCGTAGTAATACCTTCATTTAGAAAAAAGGGAACAAAAATTCCTTGAAAAAGTAACTGATGATAACTAACACGGATGATAACTATAAAATTTGATAAAGGGAAAAATAAGCTGCCTTTCTAACTTAAAGCATGCCCCTTGCCTCACATCTAACAAGATCTCGAAGGTGGCAAAATGTAAGGATGACTTTGTAGACCATCACAAACTTATTTTCCTTTTGTAGGCCCTGAATTACAGTGCAGCCTCAACTGTTTGAGAATGTCTATCTGCATGGAGGCTTCAGATGGACACTTGAGCCTACTTTCTTATCACTTAGAGAAACCAACAGTCAGTGCAAATGAGTCTTCTGATATATGCAGCCTTGCATACTTGTTTGCTCTATTTAACCTATGCAGCAGAAAGAATCTACTTTGCCACTGCTTTATGCATGAAACTGGGTCTTGCGGAGTTCAACACCACTGAATGCACAACAGAATCACCATGCTTGTGATAGGACAACATGGATACACATTCAGGAGATGGGCTGCATGTACACTGTCATTATAGTTTTGTGGAAAATAATAATGTGTATTCACCATTGGAAGCTGAGGGATTATGGGTTTTAGTTAAATTTTCAACATCTAGATATATAGCCTTATTACACTGAATAGCCGCCAATAGTTAAATTTTGCCTTCAGCTGACTTTCCTAGAGTATTTAGCTGGCTATAAAGCACAGTTAATATATGTGACAGCATGCAGTTAATTAAAGTTAATAGTTCACTGAAGTCCACACATGCAGAAGGGGAAGCCACTTTAAAGTATTGTCTAAATCAATATGATGAGCAGTATTCAATTTAATTAATTAACTATTCTTCATAAATTGACACTGGACTTATGACAGACCAAAAGAAGTACCGTACTTCTTCACATAATGCATAGTTAACATAAAGAATTCGCTACCACAGGATGTGGATATGGCCATTAAAGTGTAAAAGGGAATTAGAAAATTCATGGAATGTAAATGGAACCAGAATATTCAAAAGCAGTGTACCTTAGAATACCACATGCCAGGGACAAACAACAGGAAAGCCATCACCTTCATGCTCTGTTTCTGAAGTTCCATGGGCAACTGGGGGTTACTGTTAGAATCAGACTCTGATCTGATCCAGTATAAGCAGTTCTTATGTTCTTAACTTACCGTAAAGCACGGCTGAGTTTCTCATAGTTCATAGTAGGTTTATTTTTACGTTGTCCCCATTTCTGTGCAACTAGCTCTGGTTGATTTAGTTTGAACTCTCCTTCATCGCCAACCCATGAAATGCAGTCTCGAGCATCTTTGTCAGTCAGAAGCTCAAGCAAAAATTGCCAGAGTTGGATCTGGCCATTGTTTCCTATTGAGAATGAAATGGTTAAAATGCAAATGTAAAACCATGTTTTTCATCTTATTATGAGCCTCACTTGTGAAATAGACTAAAATGTTTTAAGTGAATAAGCTTTCCAGTAAGCTAAACTCCTTGGTGTAAGACATTAAACATAAAATATATTCAAGAATAAAGTAAATATCCTGACGGATAATAACTTGAAAGCTTGCTTACATCGTGTTCCATTTTAATGGGTCCTATTACCCTACTATTGTAGAAAAATGACCCTTAACCTGAAGCAAATCTGCAATCAATACACTGGTGTATTACAAACCTCATATCCCAACCTTTTAAAAAAAATAGCTTTATGGAGTTTGTATCTTTCATTAATGTAAATTTTAAAATCTATTTTTGTTGTGTCTATTCTCTCTGTTGCACAAGTTGGGCAGTATTTTATCTACCAGCTATGAAATCATTATTTTTTCTGTCTTGATGGTTCTCCCTCCAAGAGACTTCAGGTTGAGATAAATTATTTTAAGAAATAGGAACTTTGCTCATTCAAATAAAACTGACCTTTGTTCTTCTAAGATACTAACAAATTCTACAGTCTCTCTATGGACTGGAGTATTCATACTATATGGATACTTAAAATCTTTTGGTTTTAGTTAAAAGAAAATACCTGTTCTGTTCCCAGGTGAACTTCTATCTTCTCCAGAAATCCTTGGTGCTCTCTGCACTTTTGCTGTCTTTGCACTGCTGTTGATGACTTTAATAGTGGTTGGAGTAGCGGGCTGTACAGATGCTGGAATAATCTGCACAGCTACAGAGAAAACATAAGATTAAAAATGGGTATTAGATGCATAAGCAGAAATTCCCGTGTCAGACACCAAGACACAGGAACAGCCCAAGATATTATAGACATTTGACATGGAATATAATCATATGAGCTAGTTAAAGAACAGAGGAACATGTAATAAAATATTACAAATGCTGGTGAATTTACAGTATGAGATCATTTTCTTAAACTTTAGCTCCAGTAATCTGCACTATACAGATGAAGGGATATTGAACTGGAGATAGAATAGTTTTAATATTTTCTCTGAAGAGTATACAAACAGCTTTATTCAGCCCTTCTATAACCAAAGACCAGATAACGTCCAACAGCATTATCAATAAGTCATCTGAAAAATGGTGTCATTGCCTGGCACTTGGAAATAAACATTTGTGATGGAGTTAGTTCCCTACAGAAATATGTCTAGAACACCAAAGTATTTTCATTTTTTATTATTATTAGTTACAATGCTGCATCAGAAACAGTGATTTTTGGCACAGCAAATCTTTCAGTTGGTCTGCATAACTAGGGAAACCAACCTCTGTATAATTAAAGAGTTTGTATTACACACAAAATGAATTTCTGAGTTGTGAAGTAGTGACGGCTTGTCAACTAGTCTGTAGAGGGGGAACCTTTGACTCATGGGCCAAATCAGGCCCACCTAGGTTCGTTATTGGGCCCATAAAGCTGGTATACCAAAGTCATGGCCACCTGCCTCATACAAAACCTAAGTTTGCAGTTGGTGCCAATCAGCACTGACTGAGAACCCTGCTGGGATAAGGGGTACTCAAAGAGTCTGCAGGCTCCAGCTTATCCCAAATGGAGTTAAGACAGTATCAATAAGCAAGCTTATTTCAGCAGGTATCATCCTCTGCAACCCAGCTTGAGTTCAAGTCTATTTGGAGGGAGGAGAGAGATAACTACAAAGATATATATAGGTGCCACAGCATATTCTGGTTCTTTCTGCAGACCACTGAGCCTCCATGCAGGCACTCTTAAGAGCGTGCTCCTGATTCTTTCCTTTGAAACAGGGTCACCTGATATCATGTTGATGTCAGGTGATGTGATAGCAGTCAGCCCCAGTCACCTGTCAAAGTGTCCTGTGGAGGATGAGGGAGCATAGCATCTCACCTGCCAGCCAAATCCTATTCCCCACCCTAGTCTATACTATCATTTTTATATTTTTATTGAAAAGCTTGAGGGCTCTGCCACCACAAATCTGAAGTGTGCATCAATGTTACCCCAAATTTCGTGACTACTCTAATTTATGCAAATACCTTCTGATTTTGCATGTACAGTCACACCTTGGTTCTCGAACGGAATCCGTTCCAGAAGTCTGTTCAACTTCTGAAAACGTTTGAAAACCAATGCATGGCTTCCGATTGGCTGCGGAAGCCGCATCGGACGTTCAGGTTCCAAAGAACATTTGCAATCCGGAACACTCACTTCCGGCCAGCGTTTGGGAGCCAAAACGTTCAAGTCACAAGGCGTTCAGCAACCAAGATATGACTGTATTCTGCTTCTACTAGCCAAGAGAAGCAAACAGGTGAGCTTGATACTGAAGCTTCTGAACCTTTTGTAGTGCCACTTCAATAAAACATTTGTTGCTCCTCGTTATTTGCTCCCAAACTAAGAAGAAAATAACAACTATCCAAAGTCTTTTCCAATAAAAGTAAAGAACTGTGGGTGAAAGCACCATAGAAATAATAACCTTACCAAACTCGCTCTGCCCAGGAGGACAGACCTTATTAGTTACTCTCTACTCCCAAATTGTTTGCACTCTCTTTTTAAAGTATCCCATGAGAAACGCCAGTAAGCTGCTGCTAGATAATCCAGGAATAATTTAATATTGAACTACTGCTCAATATTAAAGCCCCACAGCAGTGGGAATATACCTCGCAATAGACCTCCTGGTTCACTGGTCAGGTGCTAGTCCGAATGCACCGTTAGAGACAAATGTTCTTAATTTCAATTTGATTCCATCTTTAAAAGGTTAAAGATCACCTTCCAAGTGCGAGCATTTTTATATAGACTATGATATGACTCTGTTGAAAATACTATTTCTTTAAAATAAAATCATAGAATGACAACTTACGTTGATCAATAGTAACTGTAGCTATTTCTCCAGAGTGTTCTTGGCTAGCCAGCACATCTGGATACACAAGAAAAATATTAAATACTAAACTTTGGCAACATTTTCACTTGAAAAAATGAGGAAAGAACAAAGGAAAGTGCTAATTTTATAAAGAATATAAGAGTTAGGAACATGCTTGAAGTCTAAAGGCCATGCAGGGAAAGGAAAAAAGAAATACACATCTATAAAATTTATAATGTTATTAGATTTATAGGCAATTCTGTATTTCACATTTCTTTCATATCTGGTAATTTTAAGTAATTACCTTCTGTTGCCTCATATATATTTTTAACTAAAAGAGGGGTAGGAAATATAGAAGCACTTAGATTCTAATAGAGATTGAAGAATTATTTAAATCTTTAAATTATCAGTAACTCTTCTCCTGATGCTAAGAATACTTGCATCTTGAGAAAACTAAACTGCTATAGTGTTTAAATTATCTGTGTCTAGAAGCTGATACATACAGAACCCTTACAATTTGCATTGTGCTATGTGTACAGAGCCCTAAAGTGTCAGTAGCATTTTAAGTCATAGTGACTGAATGCATACATTACTTGGTAACTAGGACTGCCATGATGTAGACTTTTTATTTTAAAACTTTTATTTTTAAAAATCAAACAAGATACTTGTTGAGAAAACTCACATACATTTTCGAAGAAGTTCCAGGTGGCTCCAAAGGATTTCTCCCCGAGGGACCCTCTGGAAGAAGTCCTCTTGACTGAGGCTGCACAACTCTCTCCCAGGAATGCTAAGAGTATTGAGATCTATGTCTGTCATGCTGAACTCCTTCATCACCCATACTACCCAGTGCAGTACCTGGTCAGTTGACCACTGTACTGGATCTAGGAAAGAAGAGAAATATTCTACTTATTTTTCCCAATGTTGCAACAGGCTATGTTAGACCATCATCAGCATACACTCAAACAAAGTATTCTTAAAATGAACGTAAATGAATATAAAAGCCCAACAGATGGCAGGTTCATGCAGCTGAAGCAATAATAAAGAAAAGGAATTCTGATATATTATCTATGAAAATCTTACTTTCCAACTACTTTCAGATCTATACTTAACTAAGTATCAAGTTTTCAGAAAATAGCTTTATTATGACAACCATTTTCAGAGACATAGTGGTAACTCATGGACTTGTGTAGTCTTTTTTCAAAGATCCACGACTACATCATCATGTTGAACATATAAATTTATGGAGATGACTGATAGCTGCTAACTTCAGATGTCACAACAAAGCGCTTCCGACTGCTTCAGTCTCCCCTTTCCATGTGAAAGGAGGAAAATGTAAAGCTTCTTGGCATGGTTTTGAACAAATAGTGACATTAAACTTTCAAACTTCCTCTCCTTCTATATACAGGAAGAAAGGAGTAAACAACCCCAAGGCTCACACTTGCTTATCCTTGTAATGGTAAACTAAGATTTAGTGTTACATCTGAACCAGACCGCCAAGTCAATCCAGCTCTCTACTAGTGCTGTCTACTCTGAATGACATGAACTATCCAGTGCTTCAGTGATTGATTGATTGATTGATTGATTACTAAATTTGTACACCACCATTCATCTGAAGATCACAGGGCAGTTCACAACATAAAAATGAGAACACAAAATACAAATCAACCAAAAACAAACCAATAACCCTGCTCCCACAAACATTTAAAAGGCCATAGAATGTTAATCAGCTAAACATCTGGTTTTAGAGAACTGTTTTCACCTGGTGCCTAAAGATATGTAATGAAGGTGCCAGGCAAGCCTCCTAGGGGAGAGCATTCCACAAATAAGGAGCCATGGCAGAAAAGGTCCACTCTTGTTTTCTGACCCTCCAGACCTCTCGTGGAGGAGGCACACAAAGAAGGCCTTAGATGATGATCACAAGGTTCAAACCAATCTCTCAAAGAAATGTTTAGCTACTACAGTTTGACAATTAGAAAATAATTATCTTTTCATAGCTTATTCCCCTTCCCTGAACCACTGCATACATCAGAGAAAATGCAAATCTAAACCTCAGCACAAGAGGTTATGAATTCCTCCTGCTTATATGGCATTCCCTTGGAAATGATGCTGAACTGACAACAAGAAACGTTCACAGTAGAAACTGAATGTGCACCATATTTATTCAACATCACTTTGTCATTATTACAAATCAGACATCTAAGCAGAACTATCTGCAAATGGAGGGGGAGATAGAGAAAAGAACCACAAAGATATACATGTGCCATTGTATATAATTTATTACCATAGGGTATTCCTAGACGTTCCTGCTCTTTTCGGTAGCCTTCTAATGCTGCAGCCCAACGAGTCACTTGTTCAGATGTTTCATCAGAGATGGTGGTAATATGTTTCGTTCCATCCAGCGTTATCACTTGAGCTTCTTCAACAAGGTGTGCCTCAGTTTCCGTATGGTGGGCATCTGGATCAATCACGACCTCAACAGTTTCTACTGGCTTTACAATTTCAAGGATGTTTAACTTTGGTTCTATTCCTGTACAGAGAAAGAGAATTGAGAAAACACCACACAAAGTGCAAACTACACAAAGTGGAACAGAACAAATTAATCGTGTTCCAGTTCCTTATACAGTGGTGCCTCGCAAGACGAAATTAATCCGTTCCGCGAGTCTCTTCGTCTTGCGAAGCACGGCTATTAGCGGCTTAGCGGCTATTAGCGGCTTAGCGGCTATTAACGGCTTAGCGGCTATTAACGGCTTAGCGGCTTTAAGAAAAAGGAAACAAACTCGCAAGAACTTGCAAGACGTTTCGTCTTGCGAAGCAAGCCCATAGGGAAATTCGTCTTGCGGAACGACTCAAAAAACGCAAAACCCTTTCGTCTAGCGAGTTTTTCGTCTTGCGAGGCATTCGTCTTGCGGGGCACCACTGTATTGTATTGAATTGGAACACGATTAATTTGTTGTGTTCTGCTTCATACTGTTCTGATAAAAGGTTAACTATACAGTCCTGTTTTTATTATATTTTGCACATTGCCTTGGGACATATGTAGAAGGCAATTAATAAACAACAGCAATCATACATTAACCAGTGAGCAAATAATTTTATTTCAGAGCCCTCTTAAAAATTAAATCTTTATAAATGGCATTTTAACTTCAATTTTAAAGGCTTCATTCCAATATTGTGTCATCACTTTAACATTTAAAATTCTAAAAAATGCTATTCATTAATATTTTGTGAAATACAAACTCTGAATTCCCAGCTCACCAACTTTTACTTTATCTCATTTTCTACCCACTAGCTCCCAATATCGACTTTGACCTTATAGTTTCATCATTTAAAAAAATCATATGCAGGTTTAAGCATCAACATCTATATAATCAATAAGCTGTGCAAAAGCATTTGCAAGTCTACAAAGTCCTTCAAATCACTAAAAGGAAACCAATTTTCCAGATTAATCATTCTTACCTGCTCACTGACATGTATTACTATGAAAGTTTACCCTGTGTAGTAAGTTCACAATAACTATGCTGTAATGTGTATATTTTAGGGACACGGGTGGCGCTGTGGGCTAAACCACAGAGCCTAGGGCTTGCCGATCAGAAGGTCAGCGGTTCAAATCCCCGTGACGGGGTGAGCTCCCATTGCTCGGTCCCTGCTCTTGCCAACCTAGCAGTTCAAAAGCACAAGTAGATAAATAGGTACCGCTCCGCGGGAAGGTAAACGGCATTTCTGTGCACTGCTCTGGTTCGCCAGAAGCGGTTTAGTCGTGCTGGCCACATGACCCGGAAGCTGTACGCCGGCTCCCTCGGCCAATAAAGCGAGACGAGCGCTGCAACCCCAGTCGGTCACGACTGGACTTAATGGTCAGGGGTCCCTTTACCTTTTTAATGTGTATATTTACATCCAACCATTGAGAAATAATATTTGAACAGAAAAAGCTATTACTGTAGGTCAGTAACAAGGGCTGCATACCAACCCTGCCACTAAATAGTACTGTTTTTAATATACATCTCCACCAGATGCAGGAAACATCATAAATCTACAGAATTAGTTTTTTACCTTGCCTTGATATTACTTGGACACTAAGCTGCACTGTTCCATCTGTCTTGACACCTTGATCAAAAAGACTACGATCTGGATCCAGCTTGATAAATAGAAATTCAAAGAAAGGTAGTCAACTTATTATTATGAGTTTGTTCACAACAATCAGGACAGGACAGTTGATGGGAGAACACCCTTGGGGGGATTTTCCAGGTGGATAGGGCTCCATGGTTTTCTTCAGTGGCCTTCCTCTCTCGTGGAAGCCACACAACATCTGATAGGTCACCATAATGGTATGTAGCTATATCACATGTCCTTATCATACAGGACTTTTGAAACCACAGTGTTGAACATGCATCAAAGATATGATCTCCAGACTACAACAGCCTTTGTTTTGGGAGGCCTATTGAACACAATTGGAGGTATGCTCTGTAATATCTTCGATCATGCTTTGTTGTTCTAGACCACTCAGTTAATATTTCTGAGGATATGGCCTGTGTGTTTCCAGATAGCCGTTTCTTTCCTGCTCCTCAAACACACATATTATTTAACATTATATATATTTTTTGCAATTATCCATATAAAATTATATGGGGGGGGGAATCCCTAGAAAATTGCAAGGTTTTCTTTTACAGGCAGGGGCTAGTTTTGTCTCCTGGGAGACTGTGTGTTTTCAACAGCAAAGACAGGACTCGCCTTTCAAAACAGTTATTTAGGATAAACCAGTCTCTTTGCAGCTCTACTCTGACCTCTAGCATGTATCACCTAAAAGGCAGGCCAGCTTACTTGTTATAATTGAGCATTCCCATATTTGCTTATAAACCTGAATCTATTTTGTTTTCCTAAGTGAATTGTAGCTTGAATATGTTTATTTGGTTAGAACTTACCTACTCAAAAACTATGATCTAAACAAATGTCTCAGTTGTTGAAAAATATGCTAGATATGATACAGAGGTAAAGTTTTGTTGAGTTAAATGAAAAGGTGGCCACGTATCTATGTCCGTTTTACTCTTGACTGATGTGCATCCCCTGGCAGAGATAATTATATTCTATGCAATGTGTTCCAATCAATTAATATTGATAAATATATACAAGAATAAAACCGCCAATAGAAAATGTAGGCAGAAGATCAAAGGAGTACAGGCCATCCTTTATATTACAACTTTTAACTGTAATGCTTTTGCTATACCTGTATATCCTGTAGGCAGATTTCATGTGCTTCCAAAGAACATTGAAGTCTTGGTTCCAGTAGTTTCTTAAGATTTCCAACTGGTTCATTGATATCAATAGCCTGACTCACAAATTCTGCAGTGGTGTAAGTTTGCTCAACAATGCTGAAACGAAAGAGTTTAAAAGGGGTATTGTATTTGAACAAAAACTACTGTTAGAATGTGCTAGTGCTAAACATTCCAGTAAGAGACATGAACCTCATTTTGAAAGTTTTAAAATGGAACAACTTTTGAGTACATATCTGAAGCCGGATTTGAACTCCCTTAACTGCCCTGTGTGTTTTTCTGTAGTGATCTGAACTTGCACTGAACTGAAAATGCATTGGGACATAGAAACCATGACTATAGTGGGGAGTGGGAAGAATCTTACTGTTGATGCCAAGTTGCAATGACATCTAGGTCATTGTCATATCTGAATACTACCTGACTAATCATGCAATTAATGAAAAAATTCTAGGAAATCTGCTAATTTTTTAGCAGAGTACAACTGGAATCAAGATAGCTATGTAACAAAGATACACAAATGGAAAGATATCAAGGGAACTGCAAGACATGTATCACAAAGATTCCACAGGTTATAATGAAACAGGCCAAGGACCAAAAAATAATGGCAGTGATTAAGCAGGGTAAAGCCCCTAAACCTGACTTACAATTAATTGTATTTTAAGGTAAAGTAGTATACCCTTTAAGAAAAATATAGGTAGTATAACTGTAGGGAGGGAGATGCATCTGTCCATCTTTTCCCCCTCCAATCTTTGCCCACAAGCTTGTGAAACAGAAATATTATGCACAGTTATCTTGCAGTTTTTATAGAAATATGCATGCAGTAAATGTTTTCTTAAAAAACAAAATCTAATCACTATACAGCTGGAAAAAAGAAAGAAACAGAAAATGCTTTTAAAGTTGTGATTATTTATGCTCAGAGAGACTTCCAAGAGTTAGATTTTTTGGCCCTTGATCAAGTGGAGAAATTAGCTCAGTGGAGTAAGTGTTGAGACTTAATCTCATATGGAGGATGTTAAATGAGCAGGAGTTTTCAAATGGAAATTACTCCTTGTTTGGCTTCTTTTGGTGAAAGAAGAAAAAGTTTCCATCAGAAATAAAGGAAGTAGAAAATGGAGAAAAAGCAATCATCAACTTGTTATCTGACATTCAACAAACTTGATTTTTTCCACTGTGGGTGAATTTTAACGTATAGAACCCAACGTAAGAAAAACGCTTTGGGTTACTGAAATACAGCTAGACACTTTCCGTGGACTCTTTATGGCAACATTCTATGGCGGGCTAATCTGATTCAGCCCAAGGGCTGCATTCACCCTTTGCCAACCTTTCATGGGCCACATGCCAGTGATGAAGATGGCCACCCAACACTCACATGAACATGCACAACGCCCCCCCCTCCGCAGATCAGTTCAAGATGGGCATTACTGCTCCTCCCTGTTAGTTAAATGAACAATCTGATGACTGGGGAGCGGGTGATTTGCATCAATATCAGGGTGCTGGGATTTAAATATTTGCCTTCCCAGAAATGTCTTTATTAACTTTTTGATACCAAATTCAGCGGGGTTTGGGCAGAAAAATTTGCTTGGATGGATGCATTGGGCCCCCACAAACAGCAGATTAGCCACTGTTCTTCTACTGCAACACTCTAAACTGGATTTACAGTAAACACTCGGCTCTCTTTCCTGAATTTGAAATGCAGCTCCAAAAAACCCCAAAACAGCAATACATGCGTGCACTCCTATGGACTCAAATTATATACCTTTCTTCAGTGCACTCTTGTTTCTCTGTTCCATCAATTTCTATTTCTATCAGTTCTTCTGCTTCTCTTTTAGTCATGGCTGAAATGTTTCAAGAGGCAATCTGCAAAATAAAATGTGTCTGTTTGTTTTTACACATTACATACAAATAGAAATAACAGGTTCAAAATAAGTACACTTTATTCATTCATTTACTTTTCACTTGAAAATACGATCTATTGGTCAAGTGGGGTTTCTGCATAGGTGGTTTAGGGCACAATCCAAAGCCATAAATATGGAGCAGGATTTCAACTGGGTGCTGAGCTAATGGTTAAGACCACTAATATATCAAAATAACATTGTCATTAAAATTATTCTGATGTTTGGTAGCTTGTGGATTCATATCCTTTTTTTAAAAAAAAGGCTTATACAGTATAAAACAGATGTCTCTTTTAAAATATTGCTTTTTCAACTTGCTGTAAATCTCAAATGCAGGCTAATCATTCGTTTCCTTTCATCTTTCCATTCGTCTGCTGAATTCAGAGGCAGGACATGCAACTTATGAATTATGAGTAATGTCTAGAAGTCAGCTTGAAGCATTTTCTGTCTGAAACACTGAAGTGATACACTATTTATCTTTCGACTTTATATTATTAACTTTGCCACACCTGGATCTTTCTCCAAAGAAAACTGGAAAATATAACTTTCAAGAAGCTGAGGACTTTCAAGATGTTATTTCATTTAATATAAGTTGCTGCAAGATTTGGGGAAATGATCACAGTATGATTTAATTATAGCTAAAGTGGTAAAAACCTTCACACTTCGGGGCAAGAACACAGATATTCTTAATAAAGTAAGCAATTTGTTTCTAGTTATGCACACTGCTCTAATTGCCATTTGAAAACAAAAACAAAACACTATGATTATTTGTTCCTGGACCATCTCTTCCTGCAGTCACATAATCGTGGTTCCAAAGTAAACATAATGATGTCAAACTAAGGTATTGCTTAAAAAAGAGTAAAAACATTCCAATGTTAAAACACACCTACAGGGAAGTAAGTTCCTGTTTTATTGGTGGAACACTTTTCGAAGTGTGTATACACTAGTGCATACAGAACTGCACAGGGGCAAGGGGGATGCTGTATACTTCATAGCAGTATACAAGCCACTAATCAAGATATTTTCATTTGTTCCACAAATACAAATATTGCATCTCAGCAGGTGCCAGTACTGCCTGCTTCACTTAATGTAACAAAACATCTAGGAAGAGACCTAATCCTAGAAACGCAGAGTTGGAAGGGACTCTAAGGATCCTCTAGTCCATCCCCCTGCAATGCAGGAATATGTAGCCGTCCCGTACATTATCATGCTCCAACCAACTGAGCTACATGATCTCCTGATCTAATCTCTGGTACCTTTTATTTGCATATTAAGGCACGCACAGAATAACCCTCGCTGTCGCATGTACACACTTCAGATACACATGGACAGAGATAGATGAAGTTGTTATGTTCCTTCGCTTTGAAATAACCCCTCCGACGTTTGACAGGAGGCCGAACGGCCGAGATGACCCCGCCAGGTTACACGGAGTGAGGGAAGGGGGCGGCGGCTGAGCGAGGCGGCGGGAAGGGTCCCGAAATGTCCGCCGGCTCCTCCCGCCGTCGCCGCCGGGCCCGTCTCTTTCCCAAGGGAGGCTATGGCGGCCTTGGACTCCGGCGGCCTCTTCCATAGCGGATGACGAGCAGGGCGAGCGGGGACGTCTCTCTTTCCCGCCCCGCCGTTTGAGAGGAAGCGAGGAAAGGGCGCCGCCGCGGTATCGATGGCGGCGAGGAGGCCCTCGAGGCGCGCAGGGCTCCATCCCGCCTCAGCCCAGGCCTTCCTCTCCCTTCCGCCCGCGGCGGCGCCTCCTTGTTGTTTGAACTCGGAACGGAAATGAGGCTCGCGCCGCGCGGGGCAGAAAACGGAAACAAAACACAAGAAGCGAGGAAGCCACGAGACCCCCCCTTCCCCCCCGGATACAGCGCGAGGCGCTTCCCTTTCTCCCCCGCCCTCCCTTTCCAGCCGCGCGCCCCGAAGTCTCGCGCCTCAGGACTTACCAGCCGCCGCCACCTCAGCCTCCGTCACAAAAAAAAACAAAACGCAAAACCCCGCTAACCCGCCAAAGCAGGCGGAGCAGCGCCCGCCGCTTCCCCTCCCCGCGCCTTTTTTTTAAAGAAAAAAAAAACTTTCCAGCCGCGGCGGCTGGATCAGCCCCACCGGAGCCCCTCACGCCGCCCCTGCGGGAAGAAGGCCGCAGCGCGCTCACACTCGGGCAGAGAAGGCTGCGCGCGGGGCCCTGGCGGGGGAAAAGCGCACACACACATACAATCCCCCCCTCCGCGTCGGGGCGAAAACTACAATTCCCGGCGTCCCTTGCGAAACTGCCGCCGCCTCCCGAGGAAAGCGCCTCAGTCAAACTCAAACTAGCTTTTGCTCTTTTCCCACCCGCCTACTTGAAGCCGGAAGTGAATCCATCCGTTTCCGGTGAAGCGGGGACGGGAAGCAAAGGAGGTACGTCGCTGTTTCTGAGGCGCTTCCCCCCCCCCTTTCAACGGGCTTGCTTTCTCTTTTATGAAGGGCCGGTGCAAGGGAATCTGAGGCTTAAGTACGGCGAGGCGGCCTAGAATTGTGTCGAAAGGCCGGGGGTTCAAAAGAGAAAACTCCCGAAGCTCTTTGCGCCTGTTGGAGGCGGGGCCGAGTCAGGCCCTCCCTGTGACTGCGGGCTCTGGCAAGGTGACCGGCGGTTCCTCTGCGGGGTTGAATCCGGACGGGAGAGAGCGCGGCGTTGAGGAGGCCAAGCGGGCGGGTGCGTTCGCGTGGGCCTTGCTGGTTCGCCTCAGTCGGTGTGAAACCGCCTTCGAGTTTAACCCTCGTTTAACCTCCTTTCCGGGCCTTTGAATTAGCAGGCTTCTGCGGTATCTCAGGAGGGGGATTGGTAGCATTTCCCCCGCGGTCAGAACTGTCCATTCGCTTTTGCGTTCCCTCCGGGCCCAATTTGAGAAAGGAGAAGCGGGTGGTGGATGGCTGAGTCTGGTTTCTCGTTCTTGTCATGGTCTGCATCCTGTTAAGAGGACAGATGAACAGGCAAGGAAATGCAGCAGCAGAATCGGGATTGACAGTGCGCCCACACCCCTGTTCTAAAGTGGGCCATGTCAGATGCCCAACAAACGCTCCTGCTGCCCAACCTCTGCTTGTAGCTCTTGCTTGGTACTCTCTTTCTGACCTAGTTTCCCACCTGCAACTGCCCCCAAACAACGCTATCCCTGAGAAGAACCAGAATGTCACTCTGCATGTTTCTAGACTGAGATGTTTACTTAAGCAAAGCTGTAGTTATTGGGGGGGGGTGGGAGAGCTAGCCACTTTTTTTGCCCCAGGTGAAGCCTCCAGAGGGGTGCTATTAAGGCGTCCAGCCTCTGTGTGTATGCAAATGCATGGGGTGGGCGCCCCAACCTAAGTACCCTTAAGAAGCAGTTATGGAATTTTAAAGCATTTTTAAAGGTGTATTGTTTGAATCAGGAGAATGCAAGAAAAGAACTTCATAACTTCTATTGATCAATTGTTTTTAAAAGCTAAGAATGTTTCAGTTTAGCCATTAGAATAAGGAGTAGTGGTGGAAATGATCCATTCAAATTAATGGGCATGGGGGAGCAGTCTGTTGGAAATTTAACTTTCCCCATTAACTTTGGCTGGATGAAGGTGGGGAACCTTGAGCTTGGGGAGCAGAGAGGTGTCAGATGAGGCCCATCTGGCCCCGAGTACTCTTTCCTAGCCATCACCCATCACTGGACCTGCTCCACACCCTTCTCAAATGGTTTTGGCTGGCTGGATTGTGTCCATGAATTAAGGAAACCTGATGTTTCTATTGTTATTGTTGGAATGTAGTGTGTTGTATTAGGTTAAGGGTTGCTTTGCCCACTTATACTTATAACTTTGGCCCCTTTTAACCTCTGCCTCACCCATCCTTGGAGGGTTGCCCATTTGGTAATGTGGCCCTCAGGCTGGTAAAGGTTCTATACCTCTGGACCATGTTATCTGTTATAGTGTCAAGCATCTTACAAATTCATCATCAAATCTTATATGCTTCTTGTCACCAGATAGTTTCAGAAAGAAATATTGAAACATTAAACAAAAAATCAGTACACATTCCTTTGCACCCCTGCCACAAAATGGTGCAGTGCTAACTTAGAATGCCCTGCGTCTGGTCGAAACTACTGTGGTGTCCCAATCAGCTGAAACTTGAAAGTGGGCTTCCCCAGTGGAACTCCAACTGTTGGGAGGTTCAGATAGGAATAGAAGTATGTAAGATGTAACTGATAGTTCCTTTTGTCTTTCTAGCTGAAACTTCTACAAATACATCATGATTCTCAAACAGCTCTTCAGGTTTTCTTCTGTTTTCCGTTCCGCAATCTCCTTCCACTTGCATAGAAACATCGGCTTTTCGGCCATTGCTTTTAATAAGGCAAAGGAACTTGATCCTGTGCAGAAACTCTTTTTGGACAAGATCAGAGAATATAACACAAAGAGCCAGTAAGTGAATGTAGTAAATGCAGAATTTCAAGCCTCCAGTCATTTGATTATCTTGTGGGCATTTTGATAAGTTTCCATTTAATTTTTATATTGTTGAAGTTGGTTCTTGGACAGTACTTGACTCCCAGTAATAACAGCCTGCTATGAAATATATATGGATATAAATGTATTTCTTGCGTTAATTGTTTGCTTGTGGAAAGTAATCAAGTTCTGCAACATATGGTAACTGTTGAGTAAATTCATCTAAAGCTTTAAATCAGACACATAAATTAGACTTTTGAATAAGTTCTCAAAAGTTACTTGCCTGGTGGGAGCTAGTGGAGGAGCAATGGAGAGCTCTGTCTCTCCTCCAGCAGCCTGCAGTATTTCTATGCTGGGCACAGAGAATGGACAGAGCACTCCATTCCTCCTCCACATAACTTACATCATATTAGGGCTGTAGCCTAAAAGTCTTTTAGTCCATAGCATGATATTGTAATTGATATCCCTTAGCAGCTCCTCCTACATTGAGTTGTACAGTGTCTTTTAAGCTGCCTCTAAAAATCTTCTAGAATGAAAGGTAGAGCATAAATCTTCTTAAATATATAAAAACAGACACCAGGAACCTCCAGGCAAGTGCCAGTTAGGACTGGCAGGGGTCCTAATTGACCATGACAATGCCGCCTGCAGTATTCGTAAATGTGAAGTTTGCTGCAGAGCAAGTAAGAATATGGGCGCAAAAGAACAACTGGCAGCTTAAAGTGAGCTTCCAGTTGTTTTTTTGCATTCAGGACTTGTTGATCAGCTGCATTAGGGGGCTCCATTTGAGGGCACTTGCTGTCAGTACTGAATGCAAACCCCTTTGAAGGCATGCTTTCAGTGCCAACTGTCTGATCAGTGACACACTCAGCACCAAAGGGGCTCTCTGTGAGTCCCCCTTCATTTGTTTGCAGGCATGATTTGGATTCAACTTTGCACACAGCTTGTTATTTGAAGTTGTTACCTGACATATAATAAAAGCAACAGAATGCTATTTCCCACATAATGGTCTTGCATACCTAGCACAGTTGTTGCTATAGTCAGTCATAGCAACTGTTCATGGGATGCTGAAGTTATTCAACACTGAACAGTTACTGTTCCACAAAGTTCACAAATTATTAGGTAAACAATAAAGTACAAATATGAAAGTTGTGCTGTCTGTATTATTGCTATAGGATTTAGTTTTCCCAGCAATGAAACATTTTCCCCTGTGATATGTAGGGGGGAAATTCAGCCATACTTATTAATCCCATTTTATATCTCACTTTTTCTCCAGTGAGCTAATGGCAGTATACATGGTTATTCCTCACCGTCCATGCTCCCAACATCACTGTGAGGTACATTAGAGAGATTGTGACTGGCCCAAGGTTACCCCAATGAGTTTTAAGATTTGAGCATGAATTTGCTCTGGATCTCCTTGGCCATAGTCTGACACTCTTAACCAGAGTTATTGCTCTAAATAATAAAGCTTAACCCACCCTCCCCCACCCCAAAAAACCCATAGCACCTGGCTGAAAATCTTCCCCCTGCTCTTCCATTGTGGGCAGCTGCTTATATTTGCTTTTCTGCAGCTGTGCTAATATCAAAAGGAAGATTTGCTGGCTCCTGCCTCCTTTCCAGTTTGAGATTTCTTTGTTCTGTCTTTTAGACTTCAGTGACTTCCACAGAAGGGTGCTGGTAAATAGTTTCCATAACGCATGTAAACTGAATACAAACCCATGCCATTTTCTGGCATTTTTTAACATCAGTCACAATATTGGCCACCTTATAAAACTGTCATGCAACCAATTCTTAGATTTGTTGTATATTTATATTTTGTGGCTCTGCAGATTCCTAACTTGCATCAGCCCCAACCAGCATGGCCAATGGTCAGGGACAATGGGAGTTGTAATCCCAACAACATCACACCCCTGATTTATATGTTCTTTGTGAAATTACTCCAAGACCGCATGATCCCCCTCCAATTTTATTTTCACAACCATTCTAGAAGGTAGACTAAAGTAGCTGTGTGTGTATATGATCAGTTCCTGGTCACCCAGTCAGCATAAGGGTTGAGTGGGATTTTCATTTAGGTCTCCTTGATGTAAGTCAGGGTGGCCCAACTTTTCATACCAAGTAGGGCACAAGCATACTTTAGCACAGAACCCGGGGGCTGCACATTCTTGTCATGTGGGGGCAGGGAATAAGAGCAAAATTTGACACAAACACACACCTCACGCTGCCTTCCCAAAGCTGAGAAAGCAGTAGGTAGACTTTATGAAGGAAGAGAGAGGACTCTAGGATCCCGTCAGAGCCCTCACACCTCCTTCCCAAAGCCCAGCACCTCGCTTACCTTGCTTTGGGAAGGCAGCTCAAGGGCTGCAGGAGGTGTCACCCGAGGGCCATCCAAAAAGGCCTCAAGGGCCTCATGTTGGACCACCCTGATCTAAGTCAAATACTCTCACTTCTACACATTATTGCTGTCTCTCGCCTATGGAATCATTTGTCATTTTGTAATAACAGTTCTTAAAATTACTCTGTAACAAGTTATTGTAACTGTAACAAGGGTTATAATTCACGTAGTATGAAAACTCATTATAGGCATCACTGTACACTAAAGATCCTATACAGTGGTACCTCGGGTTACATACGCTTCAGGTTACATACGCTTCAGGTTACAGACTCCACTAACTCAGAAAAAGTACCTCAGGTTAAGAACTTTGCTTCAGGATGAGAACAGAAATCATGCTCCAGTGGCGCGGCGGCAGCAGAAGGCCCCATTAGCTAAAGTGGTGCTTCAAGGTTAAGAACAGTTTCAGGTTAAGAACAGACCTCCAGAATGAATTAAGTACTTAACCTGAGGCACCACTGTACTTGAATTGTTCTATTTGTGCTACAAGTTCTCTGTTTGCCAAGTGTTTGTAATTTATTTAGATTCTTTCCCCATCCGTCACTCTAGATATAACAAAGCTCAATTAACTCTTGCATTTGTAGGAAAACTGGTGGCCCTGTTGATGCTGGTCCAGAATATGAAAAAAGCTTGCATGAACAAATGGTCAAGCTCCAGCGGGTGTATGGTGGTGGAGATATGACCAAATTTCCAGAATTCAAATTTCAGGGTAAGCTTTTAAGTTTTATGACTCGTTTAGTAATGTAAAAATGTGAGAGTGGATAATTGAAATATTAGAAATGCCATGTTAAATAAAATAAGTGATTTAAAAAAACCTTTACTAACTGGTTGCAGTCAGTAACCGCAGATATTTTCACATATTTTTAAGCATACTTTTGTGGGATGGGACTTACAATATATATTCAGGATTGGCTTTTAGACATATTTCAGTAAACTAGTGAGAATGAGAGAGTGAGTGTGTAAATGGGCTCAAAAGTTGTACCTGACATATATATGCATATATATATGTATGTTATAGCAATACATTCGTGTTCTTGTTCTCTACATAGTAATCTTAGCAGTCGGTTCTGTTTCCAGTAATAACGTTATGCATTCATACATTGTTTTTAAATTTGAGATCAACAAGCAAAAAGACAGTGTAACGTCTTTATTTTAAAACAATTTAGTTCCTATTGGTTTTCTGGGTTTATGCAGCTGGATGATTTTAATTATTAATTCCTTGAACCATTTGTATTTTAATTTTTTATCATTTCTTAACCTTTGGTATATTATACATTTTGTGTATTAAATTGTTGTTGTTGTTACATGTATATTTTAATATAAATAGATATTTTGGTTGATGTTGTTCCTCAGTATTGCATTAGTGTATATATTTACCCTGTGGGAAATGATGGCTGAAACAACAATAAACTATACATATACTCTCTATGCATCTCTTTGTAAAGCAGCTAATATTTACATGTAGTAGGAACTTGCCTTGGAAGCAAGTGTGGCTTTTGCACCATTTACACTGAAGTAGACTCTGTTCATCTGTGGAGAACCTGCATTTAAAAAGGAATAAGTGTTATGCTCCAAGAGTGCTGATGGGCCCTCTCCTCTCTTGCAGATTTGTGTAGCTAAAGCTGCAGTTCTTAATTTCTGGCAAATTGACAATAGAATCAAGTTGTAAAACTATCTATTTAGAAAACTTCACTTTGAAAATAAACTGACACTTCCTTTCATTTTTCCTATATGACAGAGCCCAAATTTGAAGAGGAGCAGAAGTGATGTGATAGCAAGTACACAAGCAGCAGCAATGTGGCTGGAGGTGTTGATTAGGCCCACGGTTGTAATTTAAATAAACAGTTCAGTGTTCAAATGTGAATATTTGAATTCTCTTGAATGTAAATCTGTGCTTTGTTTGCTCATTGGAAAGACAGCTTCATTCCACTGTCCCTCACCTTGTTTTCCTCCAACAAACAGTCTGTATTCTCAGACTTCATTGGGCTGTTTGGGTTTTTCCTCCTTTAGGATTAGGCAGCGGACATAGTTGATGCCCAGTCTCAGCTGTGTTAAAATATTGCTTCTGCAATAATAAAATATTATTTACTGCTTTTATCCCACTCTCAGACAATAACAGTCTCCCAAAGTGGCTCACTTCAATAAAAAGAGACTGTCCCTGCCATCAGGTTTACAAACTAAAAGAACACACACATGGAAAGGCGAGTGGGAGCAGGGAAAGGTAGAAGATAGTTTTCCAAGGCCAGATGAAAGGGGTGAGCTGTAAGAGGGCACTTCTATCCAATTCAAGTCAGGTTGATCTTCTCTTGCTGGTGTTCTTGCTTGAAATGAAATTGGTAGCTCTTGTTTCTTTGACCAAGGGGATAAGGTCCCCTTGCTTTTGCAGGGCCGCTGGGTGGTTGGAGCTGAATATTCTTCAGTGGATGGAGGGCGAGTGCCTTGCAGCTCCTCCTCTGGCTAGTGGATAGGGCTAGGTGAGTCATCTTCTTACCATGATGCTATTCCTCATAGGCAGGGTGGGGGCAGCTTCCCAGGGGCCCTAGGTCTTCTGGCAAGTAGCAGAAGCCAGCATGCTTTCCTTCTGCTCTCCAGTCCCAAGGCTGTTCAAAAATAGCTTTAGTGTTTTTAGTATCCTTTTTCTCCCATCATATTTTTCTAGCCATTCCATTCCCACCCCATTTTCAGCTTCTTTGTATTCTTTTGGTATTGCTGCCGGGTTTTAGGAGGTGGGCTCAAGGGTTTCCAAAAAACCTGGAGTTACAAGAAGAGGTACCAGCACATTCTGAGTATGTGGTTGTTTCCACTTGGTTACATAAGTGTTATCACTCAGTGAATTGAATTGAAATACAGGGTGATTCAATAATTAATTTCATTTAACACTGCTCATATCTTTCATACAAGCAGAGTCAGGAGCCTGTCAATATAATACTGTAGATGGAAAATGTGGTCTATCAGACTATTGAATAGACTACATTTGTTAAAATAAAACTCCTCAAATAGTTGAAATAATATATAAAATGTTTTAAGTTAGTTTCTTTGCCTTTCATTGATTTACTGTTGACTGGCACCCTTATATAATATTTGCCTTTACTTAATGGATGCCATTGAAATGAGTAGGATTTGCTTCTAAGGAAATGTGTACAGGGTGGAGGAACACATGATTAATGGTAAATGTTTGCAACTCCATACTTGTTCTTGAAAGTTTGGTGGCATGCTTTTAAAAATAAATTAATAACTGAAAAGTCCACACCAACTGGTACGAGCAAATGTGCTTGAAAATAGTTGCTATATTGGGAAAGAAATTTGAAATAATTGAGTAGTTTACACAGGAAAATTGTGTAAATAGTACCTGAAGCTTTGGCCAACCTTTGACAATTAGTCATAGTCATGCGTATAATGCAGATAATTGATTACTTGGTTGATCAGAACTGACTGCATATTAATTTGAGATCTATACTTGGATCTAAGGTTTTCCTATACAAGGTTTTTATCCTTGAAACAAAAAGCATCACATTACACTATTAATGCTTGTAGGAAGCATGGGGAACCTGTGGACTTCTAGATGTTGCATTACCGCAGCTCCCATCTATGCCCATTGGCCATGCTGTCTTGGGTCCATCAACAATCCAGCAACAACTAAAGCATCACAGGCTCCCCATCCCTAGCCTAGGAGCAGTAACCACATTTCTCACATCTCTAATAAGATACTTATAATATGGTGAGGCTAACAATGTCGACAGAACAAAGTTAGGGCATGAAATTATAGCCAGCTGTGAGGTTTAAGGTTCTTGGGTGGAGATGAGAATCCGGCTTAGGAATTTGTCTTGCTTTTTTTTTATTTAAGAAACCTAACATTCATACCCATGTTTTGTCTTAAGCATCAGTATCATGATCACACTAGTAACAAAGCATATGTGATTTATTTATAATACCATCCAAGAGATTTTTATAAAAAAAAATTAAGGCATTCGTTAGCATTGAGTGGTGAAAAGGATTTCTTCTCAGGCAAAATGTACAGTCTTCAGAAAATAAATCATAAATAGGGTTTAAGGGGCGAAAAATGAGCAGTAGTAAGAATGCACTACACTTCAACAGACCTATACCTGCATAATTTTGTTATTGTTTAGATAGACTGAAAGAGTCAAGACATTTAAATAGTGGAGGCAAAAACGGCTTTGAACAATATTATTCTGATCTTGGCTGTGGAACCTATCATGTTCCACAAAAATTATGAGTAAAAAGCTCTTAAACTTCAGAGCTCTTTATTTGATTGATTCATATATTGCCTTTCTGCCATTTAGGCCTTTAAAGTTAGCTTACAAGCAGGCTGGAATAAAGTTGTTTATAGGGCAAGACATCACATGTAGATCTTCTACTCTAGAACAAGGAAAAATCCTCACTCACTCTACACATGATGTCTTTTGAGGTTCTACCTATCCTGGACCAGGATGCAGGAGTAGAGAAAATAAGGTCAACATGTCAATACTGTTCCTACTGCGCAGTTCTTCCCACAGCCCGCTTGCTGGTAGAATTATGCCCTTAACATTAACAAGTATGGTAGCAGTTGCAGTTGTCTTGACCTGCACAATGGAGAAAAGGACAAATCTTCCTTAGAGGCATCTATGCCCCAGCCCAAAATATTGGCCCTGAATAGTTAAATTATTTAAGTTACTAAATTTATATCCTGCCCTTCCCAAAGGAGCCAAGGGCAGTAATGACCAGATCAGGCTACTTACTCCTGACAGTTCTTCCTAGAGGGCTGGCTTCATATAATCCAGTATCTTGTTTCCCAAAGTCACCAGCCAGAGACCTCTAGGTAGCCCACAAGTAAGACATGAAGGCAATTGTCCTCTCCACTTACTCCCAGGCAACTGGCATCATAAAAGAATATATAGCCAATTATAACTCATATCATCCATTAGTTTGTATAGCTCCCTTTTAAAGACATCAAAACTGGTTGCGCTCAGCAAAACCCACAAGTTAGCTATGTATGGTGTAAAGAACTATTTCCTTTTCTCTGTTCAGACTCTCTGGTTACCTTCACTGGATGGCACAGAAGTTCTGGAGTTATGAGGGGGGGCGTACTTCAGCCACTTCCTCAACAATTTTATAAATCTGTCACCTTTCCTCATAGAGGAGTTGTTCCAGTCCTTTGATCTTTTGGTTGCACCTTTTCTAGTTGCATGGTATCCTTTTGAGATGTGGCGACTAGAATTGTGCACTTCATCACCTCCTCTCCTATCCTTTTGGGGACATTACACAGTAAGAAACCCCTTACAATTGCGTAATCTACAACCACCAGGTTAGAAAAGCACTATCAAACTACGTTAAAACAACTTTTGACAATCGTGTGTCTTCAGCTTTTAGCAGTAGTGCCTTGGCTTTGCCATTGGTTTATTTTTTGCATGTACCACTCTTTAATATTTATATAATAGAGTCCAAGCATCCCTTTGATAGTTTGCTCCAGCAAATGCTCATTTGGTGTTCCTCAGAGGGTGGGTTTCTTTTAAATAACAAAGGACTTGGTGTGCTTGAAATCCTAAGGAACGGAAAGAAGAACTGTTGAGATAATTCAGATAGTTGCAGTAGAAGGTTTTGTACTAATATCCATTCACCACTAATAATTATGAGAGCACAAGGTGCAGACTCCAGCTATCCCTAACTATGGGCAATGCTGGCTGATGATGATGGGAATTGGAGTCCAAGACATCTGGAAGGTCCTATGCATTACATAAGGGGTAGCTAAGCCTGCGGCCCTCCAAATGTTGGACTACAACTTCCATCTGCATGGCTGATGGGAGCTGAAGTCCAGCAACATCTGCAGAACCACACGTTATCCACCCCTGGTTTAGCAGTTTTCTGTGTCATCCATATTGTGAAAAGAACTCTACAAGCTGACTCATATGTGAAGCAAACGCTCTTTAATCCATGCATCCCCACCTGAGCATGAGATCAGCTGAATAAATCTCAATGTGGACTGTATCCTAAGCTTGTTGCCATTTCAGTGGTTCTATGCTGTCACTATGATGGTAAAAAATAACTACAAAGCTTCCTCCATGTATACAGACTGATTCCCACTGAAGTCCCTCCCTCCCCTTGATCTTATATGTAGAAGGGAGTTTGGTGAAAACCATCCTATCTAGCCATCTCTCACAGGGTCATGCAGTGTGAAAAACTTTAGTATGGCTGACATCTACCACTGCTTTGTGTGTTAACACTGATCCTACAAGTTGTCAGGAGTGCGAGAAAACAACAGTATTTAATATGTACAGTGGTACCCCGCAAGACGAACGCCTCGCAAGACGGAAAACCCGCTAGACGAAAGGGTTTTCCGTTTTGGAGGCGCTCATAGAACGAATTTCCCTATGGGCTTGCTCGCAAGACGACAGCCCATAGGGAAATCTCAGGGACACCTCCTCCGCCGCCGCCGGGCTCGGAAGGCTCCTCCGAGCCGGGCGGGGGAAGGGAACACCTGCCGCCGCCGCCCGGCTGGAACGGTGCTCCGGCCGGGCGGGGGAGGGAACACCTGCCGCCGCCGCCCGGCTTCGGAACGGTGCCCGGGCCGGGCGGGGGAGGAAGACCTCCGCCTCTGCCCGGCTCGAACGGTGCTCCGGCCGGGCGGTGGGAGGGAAGACCTCCGCCGCCGCCCGGCTCGGAACGGTGCTCCGAAGCCGGGCGGGGAGGGAAGACCTCCGCTGCCGCCCGGCTTCGGAACGGTGCTCCGGGCCGGGCGGGGGGAGGCAAGACCTTCTGAACGCGGGCGGGGGGCGAAGTCTTTGCTCCCCTGCCTGCCTGTCCCGGAGGGCTTTGAAGGCGGGGAGCAAGACTTCGCCCCCGCCCGCCTCAGAAGAGGTCCAGGACCTCTTCTGAAGGCTGGCGGGGGCAAAGTCTTGTCCCCCTGCCTGCCTTCCCAGGGGCTTTTAATTGCCCCGGACAGCGGAGAAGTCCTCCGCTGTCCCGGGTGATTTTAAAATGCCGCCCGCCAGCATTTTAAGATCGCCTGGACAGCGGAGAAGTCCTCCGCTGTCCCGGGTTTTTAAAATGCTGGGGTGGAAGAAAGCCCTTGCCCCCCCAGCCTTCAGAAGAGGTCCGGGGACAGACTGTCCCCGGACCTGGTCTGAAGGCGGCTTCCTAGAACGCATTAATTGATTTTCAATGCATTCCTATGGGAAACCGTGCATCGCAAGACGAAAAACTCGCAAGACGAAGAGACTTGCGGAACGAATTAATTTCGTCTTGCGAGGCACCACTGTAATCTGGGTAAGGCTATAGAAATTCATGAACTTGCCACTAGATGGAGACGCACCTTCCTGAGAGCTGGTATGTATTCAGTATGTAACAAGACTGCTGGAAATAGCCTCTTTCTACAAATGCTCCTTTCTATAACTACTGGTATGATGTATAGAGGAGCGTACAGCTGAGTAAGATGCCAACAGAAATAACCTGATGCATCTCTTGCTATTCTCTACCAGGTCAGATGGGACATTATGCGGGGACATAATTCAAAACAACTTTCTGTAAATAGTAGCCAAGCATAGTTTTCTTCCCTAATATGCTAGCCAGCTTTTTACGGGACGCTTTTATACTGAAGAACGTTCAAAGATAATTCCCTCCTTGCCCCCTGCATCTGAATTGATGCAGTCCAGTTTACCATGTTGTCTGGGTGAATAGCTGTGCTCTTAGCCGTTCTGTACTTTAGAGTTGTGGCATGAGAAAGTACATTATCTCCACCCTTCCTGAAGCAGACATAATGGGTGAATTAATCTTGCCAGTGCCACTACCGCATAGATACAGAATGCTCACCTTTTCACTGTTTGCAGCTTTGTTCTTCCTGCTAGCAAAACAAAAGTGGGAGAAAGTATACTGTTTTATCTGGGCATTTCATGCACATTACTTATATAGAGTTTTGTTTTCCATACATTCATGTTTCTACTGAATTTGCTTGGATTTTTATTTTTATTTTTTAAAAAAAGTTTGATTCAGTGCTTAGCGCAAGGATAAGGGAACCTGTGGCTCTGCAGATGCTATTGGATTCCAACTCCCAGTATCCCCAGCCTGCATGGCCAATGGTTCAGGGACAGTGAGAGTATAGAGTCCCAACAAGAACTGGAGGGCCACAGGCTCCCCATCACTGGGAATTTGCCTGCATGTAAGAAGTCAATTAGGGACACGGGTGGCGCTGTGGGTTAAACCACAGAGCCTAGGACTTGCCGATCAGAAGGTCAGCAGTTTGAATCCCCATGATGAGGTGAGCTCCCATTGCTCGGTCCCTGCTCCTGCCAACCTAGCAGTTCGAAAGCACGTCAAAGTGTAAGTAGATAAATAGGTACTGCTCCAGTGGGAAGGTAAACGGCGTTTCCGTGCGCTGCTCTGGTTCGCCAGAAGTGGCTTAGTCATGCTGGCCACATGACCTGGAAGCTGTACGCCGGCTCCCTCGGCCAATAAAACAAGATGAGCGCCGCAACCCCTGAGTTGGTCACAACTGGACCTAATGGTCAGGGGTCCCTTTACCTTTACCAAGAAGTCAATCGTATTATTTCTAAATTTGGGGCTTAACGTTAAATTAATTTTTGTCTAACTGTTACAGAAGCAATACCCACAAGATCACATTATAAATCATATTATAATTGAATTAAACCCTATACTATTTTTTATTTAAACATAAGTAATTTTATCCAGATACGTCTGTTACATGGGTTTCAAAATATAGACAATATTGCTTTAGCAACCATGTAAAGTAGCTGTTTCACTGTGTTCTTATTAACAAAGAAAACATTGGCATATATGCATATGAACTTTGAAAGAAATTGCCTTGTACATTTTCAGTGAGGGAAGTACTGAATGTATACAGTGTTTTGTTCTACTGAGAATACACTCATTTAAATCTGATCCACTGGTTTCAGTGAGTCTGCTCAGAGAAAGGGGTTGGACTAGATGACCCTCAGGGTCCTTTTCAACTCTATGGTTCTATGGTGCAATCCTTTATAGGGAAGACTGTTCAAGGCCTCCTTATTGCTTCTTCAAATTAGTAGCCAATGGGCGACTGGAACCCTCTTAAAATATTAGCCAACCGAGCCCAGCTTTAGGTATTATAGGCTAGGAAATGAAATGGCTTGGATCCAGATTTTGCTCCAGCTAGCAAAAGGGAGAAAGGGAGTTTTTCCCCCATACCCCCTACAGCCCCTTGTGCTTTCTGAGGAAATGCTTCAGGGAGTTGTAACAGGCAGACATACAAGCGAAACAGTGTGGGAGATGGCACTGGAGGGGGATTGGCAAAAGTTGCCTCCTCGCCCTCTACTGTCAGCTGGATCCTTCCATCCAGGATCAAAAATCACCTGTGGATGGAAGGAGAAGTTTGGATTCGACCCAATATGACTAATGCAAGGGATTCTGCACAATAGTGCAGAACTATTGATCCTTGGATCAACAGTTGCAACTATAGTCAATGTTTCAGCTGTTCAAAAGTGGCAAACAGAAAGGAAAATAAATATACTTACGCTGAAGAATGTGCTTCTGGGGGATAAGAAAACAGGAAAAGAAAGATAAGCAAGGGTCATTCTCCATACTTCACACTGCCTAACTGCACACTTTACACCAGTCTCTGGAACAACTGCCATAAATATATGATCACATATTTCCTTCTAATCTTGCAGATATTTACTTTCAGACAAACATCAGGTTTTCCAGATATTCCCAATCAGATCACCCAGCTAAGTGTTAATAAAAGTTATATTTAAGACCATTTAAAGCAGGGTTTTTCCATACATTCACCCACCTTTTATGTAGCTTGGTTATGTTTTTCCTCCTTTCTCTGTGAGAAAGATGTGGTTAAATAATTTGAAGCTAATTATATTATGTGATCTGTAGTTTACATCTGTAGTCAGATGTGGCCTTCTGACTAGATGTTCAATCACTACCTCCTGTGCCCCACTCACTAGATTGCTGCATGTGTGAACAAAATAAAGATTCTAAAACAATTCTTTGTAGACTATGCTGCACTCTATAAATGCTAGAAAGGAAGCCACGTCAGTTCATTATATATAAAAAAAATTCCACAGTATGTAGGGCAATACAAAATAATTTGTCAAGACAACTTACAAAATAAGTTGCCAAGAAATTCCTAAGTAATCATTTATTGCTAGATTACAAAGTAACATGTAGTCAATAAATTACTACTTAATTATTTGGTCTACGTGGGATCTGAAGATGCCTGACTTCTTCCTAATTGCTCCTAGGACAAAAATGGTCCTATCTTACAGCTCACTGTTCAGTTAGATGGTTATTTTGTCCCTCGTGGTTTACTGCAGAATAGGAACAAGCGTCAATTAGGTTTTCTGTGGATTGATGTTTGTTCCAATTCAGCTGTAAACAGCGGGTTTTCCTAGCGAAAGAAAAACTTCTCAGACCCATGCCTAGAAATCACGGGGCAAAGAGGAATGTGGATGAACCCTGATTCTGGGAAAATAAAACATTTATTTTAAAGATAGAAAGAAATATTTGGGGGACAGGGAGATGCACTCTCATTGTTACCCAGCAGAGGGAGCTGGCTAATCAAATTCAGCAGAAATTTCATATCAAAACTTGCCTCCAAAAATCTGCAACGCGATATAACAGGGCAGAAACCATGGTGTTTGAGCTTTTACTGAAATACTGTCTACATGTACTGACTGGCTTTTAGACAAGTGAAATATATTTCGTTACGTATCGCAAATGAACCCACGAGAAACTGTCCTGTCTATCCTGTGTGCTGATGGCTTTTTACAATGGCTGTGGAAACGTACTAAACCTGACTCGGTTGCATTAAGCTCACCACATAAACAACTTCAGCAACAGCTGGGAGTCCCAGGCTTCAGTCCCACACTGTGCCAGTAACATCAGATACAGAGAACAGCAACCATTGTGGAAACAACAATTTCCTTTCCATGTGAATATTGTCAGGTAGAAATCTCTTTGCTGGGGAGCTGCATTGATCTCATTTCCCATGTGGATCTTCCATACGGTTATAAGCCAACTGGCATGAAGGAAGACCATGGGAATAAGGTTGTTAGGATTTTACGTAGCCGATGCTGACTAGTGTGATTAGTATAAATCACATGAGATGTCTGAGAAGAGTTTGGGAAAGGAAGACTGTCTTATCTCTTCCGTCTGTGAGTGTTATTGGACTGTACTTTCGCTTTTGCTGTATGCTTTCTGTTTCTGCCAGAGTTTGGAGAGCACAGACGTGATTATGGATTCTCTGTATATATTGTGAATAAAGCGTAGTTTAGACCTACGGATGTTTCTATCTTCTTACTGTGTGATGCCAGAAGACTTGGGTGCACTTTTCATATATGAAGTGTCGCAGAGGGGTACTCTGGAGTGAAGGGACATGCCATTCCAGAGACGTGCCCACTGGGAGACACTCGGAGGTACTGGGGGTCTGCCGTCTCCCCCCCTCCCAGGAGAATTTCCTAACAAAGGTGTCCCAGCCTGTTGCAGTGATGCCAGAACTGGCTGCAGGTATCCTGGCTTTAAATGGTACCTAAATTCAACACCATGTGAAAAATCCATCGAGGTAAAATTCTGCAGTCTAGTGTAGATTAAGATTTAGTGTACTTTAATCCATGACTGTTTGTTATTGAATGGCAGTCACAGGGGCAGCCTGTCCCATTTTGCCACCTGAGGCAAAATGGGAATGTGCCCCTCTTGTCCCCTGCCACTGTACCCCCCCTCCAATTTCCATCGGTGGTGGAACACCACCCTGGCCAACACTTGGCAAAAGGAAAAGCATTCCACAATGCCTTGACACTCACCTTCTCCATCCCAGGGGCTGGGTGGACAAGTGGCAACACCAAGTACCAAAAGTGGTGGGGCAGATGGGACGCTGCCTTTTGTGCTTCTGCCACCTAAGGCAGCTGCTTCACCCTGCCTCATGGGTGGGCTGGCTCTAGGGAGTCAGCTAAGTTTTACTCAGAGTACAGTCACTGAAATTAATCAACATGACTAAGTTAGGAGCATTAATTTCGATAGGCCTACCCTGGATAAAACTTAGCTGAATCTCACCACAAACTGAACAGTTACAAATGTAAAATATCCAAGGTTGTTAAAAGTGGGGGGCGGGGTGTCAGAAAGCAATTCTAGATTTTCTGAGGGAAATCGCAATATTTAGACATTTTGCCACCAGCTTAAAGGTTTAAAAAAAATAGAGCCTTCCAATAAAGATTCAGAAGAAGATTGTATATCATAAGTTCTCTACCCACCCTCTAATAAAAACTGGGTTGAAAACAGAACATGCAACGCTGACTCCAACTCTCTGTTATTACAAGGGCAGCATCTTTTATTTACAGGAACTGTTCATTATCCATCCACATGGAAAAAACATTAGCTTTCAACGCAGACCAGAAGTACTGCTTTCTGGCAGCTGGTTCTGCTGTTATTTCCAAGACTAAAATTGTCTTTCCTTTTATTTTCCTATCACCCCCTTTTCCTATCACCCCCTTCCATTATTTTCCTATCATCCCCTTCCACCACCCTCCTTCCTATCACCCCCTTCCAAGTGTGCTAGCTCTGCTCCAAAACCACCTTTGCTTCTGCCGGCCCACAACCCCACACAGTTCACAAATATTTAAGCATGGGAACTTACTGATCAATCCAGGAAGGAAGAAGTTTCACTTACTTGAAAAGTAGCCCTTCTTTTGTGCATAATATACCCCGAGACCACAGGAAGCTATTATCAAAGCCACAATGACCACCGCAGCTATGATGCCACCTACATTAAGGTCATCTAGCATGGAAAGCAAAACAAAAATAATTTCAAATTGGAGGTTGAGTATAGAAGGCAATATTCATTATATATATATATATATACACTCTCAAATAGGGCATGGTAGAGCCCTGGGAAGAGCGACTGTTTGTTAAACTACAATAACTATGGCCAGATAATCACTCTACACAGCTGGTCCAGGAACTGAAGTTAGTGAAAATATTATATGCTCCCTGCGTATTCATCTGCAAAGGTGCATCTAAAGGCATTTCAAGTTGCAATCCTCACTACCCTGGATCCTTCTTTCTAAAAATGGTCCTGCACTGACCACTTGGATCCATGGTGGCCGCCATCTTGTGGCGCAGCTGGGGGAGACAGCGCCAGCTAAGCCAATCAGAGGCAGGGGTTTAGGGGCTGTGACCAGCCCACTCCTAGCCTATTTAAGGGAACGGTTTAGTTGCAGGCCGCCCTCTTGCCCCCCCCCCCCAGTATATTTTTTCAAGAAAACCTACTTTAAATTGTAGCAGTGTCCGGTAAAATGTATTTTTTTGCTTAAAATATTTTCTCTTTTTATTAATCATCCAAACTGGGCCTTTAAAGATGTGCCACATAACCGAGTTTGAAGTTGGAAGGTGAACTAACACATTTTAGTTTCCTAACTCTGTCTTGTAATTAAGACATTCTCATCTCAAGGTTGGTTGGTCACATTGGAATTTGACATTTACCAACTTGCATTCGCTTTACAGAACATTTCTGAGGCTGTCCAACTTTATTGTCAGCTTCACAGTAGTACTCTCCAGTGTCATTCTTTGAAACAGAATTGAATAGCTGGTAAAAAAAAAACAACAGAGAGAAAGAAGTAGAATATTCCAAAAAAAATGGGAATGAGCAGTCAAAACTGAGACAACATTTCTAGTACATTATGCCATTGCATTATTATTATTATTATTATTATTATTATTATTATTATCATTATCATTATCATCATCATCATCACCAACATCATCAGTGCAGTGGATTTAGAATAGAGTCATACCTTGGAAGTCAAATGGAATCCGTTCCGGAAGTCCGTTCGACTTCCAAAATGTTTCAAAACCCAAGTGTGGCATCTGATTGGCTGCAGGAAGCTCCTGCAGCCAATCAGAAGCCGCAGAAGTCCCGTCAGATGTTTGGCTTCCAAAATTGTTTGCAAACTGGAACAGTCACTTCCAGGTTTGTGTTGTTCAGGAGCCAAAATGTCCGAGAACTAAGCTGTTTGAAAATCAATGACTGTATTTCACAGTTTTCCAGAATGCAAAATGACTGTCCAGTCTGACAGTGACAACTGATCTAAGGGATGGGAGAGGGTGGCCAAAGCAGTGCCAGCGCACCAATATTTTTGGCCAAACTGCTTTCAACCTTTTTAGGGGGAGGAGAGAGAAATGAAACAGTTCTGAAAATTGGGGTGTAGCAGAAATAAGAGGTGTTCATGGAACAAACATCAGTTGGGTGTTCTGCAGATTGACATTTGTCTCAATTCAGCAGTAAACAGCGGGTTTTCCTGAGGAAAGCAGCGGTGCAAAAGAAAAACCTCTTGGACCCATGCTTAGAAATCACCAAATAGAAGTGTGGATGAGCCAATTCAGTTACTGCAGCAGACATTTGGTGAGATAAGTACGTATCTCCGCTTTGTAAAATATATCCCATTTTCCTAAAATTTTCTCATACTCATCAATCTATTTTATTATCCTATGGGTGAATCAGCAAAGTATCATGCTGGTTCTGAGCTATATATCAAAAGATATACAACGTGTAGGATGCAAGGTGACTGAAAGAGGTCCTATTTACTATATCTCTATGCAACTCTGAGGCAAAAAAAACCAAAACCACACAGTAGGGTCCTGATACTATGTTGAATTTCCTCAGTACTACCACAGCAGAATGTTAAGCCTTTTCTTGGGCTAAGTAAAGTCCAATGATAAGTGGTATTGAGCAGAGGTTCACTAACCAGAGTTCCAGTTGTAGCATTCATGGTATAAGGAAGTCTCTCTTTTTTAATGCTCCGCAATGCTGGGCTTTCCGGCAGAAGAAGGCCATTCCTATACCATCTGTACTTTGACGCAGGAACACCATTGTTTTCTTTACAGCGTAGCTCCACTACTGTCCCCGTCATAGCTGAGCTGGGCACTTCACAAGCAGGAGGAGCTGGTGGGACTAGGAAATGACATGATCTGTTTCAAAGTAAAATATCTGAATGGCTAAACCTGCCTATTTGCTCACAAGTTGCTCTAATAAAGGCAGCTGGACTGAGTGGTTTATGCATCACATTGTCTGCATATTGTTCCTCGCCTATGGCACTGTCCGACGGAAGTTTGATGTAAGCCAGTGTTCAAGATGTTTCAACAATGAATCAGCAAATGTAATATAATATTTAGTTGTAAACAAAATACTGATCTGAGGTGCATTATGTCCAGACTTTCTCTTCCACAACTAGAGATAAAATATAATCGGTTGTATCAAACTAACATCTAAATACTACTCCTCAGAGTAGACCCACTGAAATCAATGAATCTAATCATGTATTTTCAGTGAGTCCACTCTGGATACAACCCCATTCATACATTTTAAATAATCTATTTCAGAATGTCTAAAATTAGTTCCCAGCTACTTACCTCTTTACAAAATGGTTGGCTTTAAAGTCTGGTTCATACCATTAATTTAACAAAAATTATCCCAGGCCCAATGGATGTGTACATTTCAGAAAACAATAAAATGATATAAAATGAAACATTATTTTTACAGAGGGTTTCTTTTAAAGACAACACACACACACACACACACACACACACACACTGGATACTTTATTGTACCCCTTCTGTAATTGGGTGGCAAACAAAATGCAAGAAGAAATGTACTACTGAATAGTGTTACCTCAAAATAGCTTTGTTTAGATTCTTACCCAACACTAAGAGAGAGACTATAACTTCCCCTATTTGTTGTCCATGTTCCGTGGATGCACTAATTTCGCAACGGTATTTCCCAGAATCCTTTCTAGTCACATTTTTAATGCGGATGCTTGATTGCACTCTTTCTCCTCGATTTTTAAAATCACCTGCAAAACAATCAAGACAGAGAGCAATGGCTAGAAAGGAACTTCCTCAAGTTTGCTTTATAAATGTATAAAACAATTAGGGAAAAAAGACTGGTTTTCCAGAATACAATGCCAGTTTGGCTCTCTACCTGCCATTCCCCACAATATTTATTTTCTCCCGAAGACCCTTCCAACACTCCATTTCATGTGAGGTAGTTTATTAAGGGATTTGGTGTCTCAAACACATATTTTGCATGCAATTTTGATACATTGTAAGCTTTTATATGTTGCAGTAGAATGTTTTCAAATGAGAACTATCAGCCACTATCAGTCATACAGCTGTTAAAGACACAAGTACCCTGTTATCAATGCCATTATTAATCCAAATGAAGGCCTTTGTGGATGCCATGGCTCCCAGGCACTGAGTTGGCAACTCCTGCTATATATCCTAATCATATTACTCCTTTTCTGAGGGGAAATTGTTAGAGCAAAATAGCAGCTAGTGGCTGTCAGGACATATTTTGTGGTTGCTGCTACAGGGCTGTGACTGCTGGCAGTATCCCCCTTTAATTCCTCATCCCCCGATTTCCCACCCCATTCTCTCCCCCATACAGATGCTTAGAGCGTACTCAAAATGACACCACTGAAAGCAGAGGAGCCATTTTGTGCCAGACCTAATTTGTGACTTAAAGGCAGGTTCACACATGAGATGCATGCTTTTTCTCATTTCTCCCTCAAAACTGTTACAACAGCAGACAGCACTACAGGACAGAGTAAGCCAAGCTACAGATGGAATGGGATGCTTGAGTGTGGATGTTAGCTGTTTGAAGAAGGGTTAGTCAGGACAGTCAGGAACACGAATGGAAAATGGAGGAAAGCCACATATGTGCGACTTTGCCTTTCAAGTGTTTGAGCAACCCTTGAAACAAAGGATGGGAGATTTTCAGTGACACACAAGAGCTCTACAACAGCAGAATGCAATATGTATGTTTTGTTAACTAGTTACTCCACACACAAACACACACACACACACACACATACAGGGAATGTCACTTAATTAAATAAATCTTACGTCAGACAGTCAAATCAATTTTATTTGATTTATCTATTAAGAAATGTGCCTATGACTAAAAGGAACATGTGAACCAAACAGGCTATCCTCTTGTTCAGCAAAGCAGGCAGCAGCTATTTCTACAGTTGATTGTGATGTCACAATCATGGAAATGGCTGCTAGAGCTACAAGTTCAATCCATGAGACTCAGGTTCAAATGCCCATTCAGCTTTGAAGCTTGCTGGGTGACCTTGGGCCAGCTGGTAACTCCTAGCTTAACTTAACTCACAGGGTTGAGCGAAGATAAAATGGAAGGAAAGAACAATGTACGTCATCTTGACCTTCTTGGGAGGAGAATTGGATAAAACAGTAAAAAATAAATCCATGTACACTGTACATCCTGTGATTTCTCCATGCAACCCTGAACATGGGAACATTTCACATGCAGGACACAAGCCCTCAGCAGCACAGTAAACACACACACAAATATAAATGTAAGCATTTTCTTACCAACAAAGGAACCTTCAAAGTAGACAAATGTAACTCCAGTTTTGGTAATTTTTTTCCATTCTACTCTTGTAGTTTCCTTCCCTTCATTGTGTTTACAGCTTAGAAATGCCTCTGTAGAGGGAAAAATACGTCATTGTTTCTGCTTTGAGTTGGAATACACTACAAACAACTGGCACACTTTCAGAACTAACTTTTGTAGAATGACTCTACAGATTAACAGTCCATATACATTTTGTGTGTGTACACTGGGGTACAGAATGCACAAGCTTCTCATCATGCACAAAATGTGCACCCATTCAGGATTTTGGTGCATAACTCTTAAGATATCTGGACCCAAGCCTTTCGGATTCTGCAGGTAGCATGGGAATTTTACAGAAAGAAATCCATATACAGTGGTACCTTGGGTTACATATGCTTCAGGTTACATACGCTTCAGGTTACAGACTCCGCTAACCCAGAAATAGTACCTCGGGTTAAGAACTTTGCTTCAGGATGAGAACAGAAATTGTGCTCCGGCGGCGTGGCAGCAGTGGGAGGACCCATTAGCTAAAGTGGTGCTTCAGGTTAAGAACAGTTTCAGGTTAAGAACGGACCTCTGGAACGAATTAAGTACTTAACCTGAGGTACCACTGTATAAACACAACATGTGGGATGAGAGGCGCCCCTAAGTTTACAGTAGTACAAAAATAAATCCAAAGAAGCGAAGCAATTGCTAAACATCAGGAAAGCTAAACATCAAGCGCACTAAACAAGTTGTGAATCATCAAGCATTTTACAGTCTTCATCTTTCTCACTAAGACCATAATGATTATTCATCTCTAAAGGCTGATTGATACTCAAGAAGCAAGGAATTTGAAGGAATTCATTGGCAGCAGGGCTGGCCCATCCATGAGGCAAGGTGAGGCAATCACCTCAGGTAGCAGAATCGACAGCAGCAGATCTGGCCTTCAAGAAAAGGATCACATGTAGATCTTTATTCACCCCTTGTTCCTAATACGCAGCTTCACTCCCCACTTCTTCCCAGGGAAGGAAGGGGCGCTATTTTGTGCTTCACCTCAGGAACCAAAATGTCTTGGGTCAGCCCTGATTAGCTGTGTTCACACATGATGGTAAACCATGGTTAATGTGTAATGTGAACATGCAGACAGCTCCCACTTTGCTCCCTCTCCTAGCACAAGCAGGAGCAACAAACCACAATGTCAGAACCAAGAATTGTAGTTTGTTTGACTCCAAACAAACTATGATGTGAAGCCAAGGTTCTTGGCTTCCTGGCTGTGGTTTATTAGTGTGGAAAAAACCCACAATGTCCCACAAAGGTAATTGTGGGAGATGACCTTGTTCCCAATAGTTTTTCCTCCCTGTTTATGCACACATGATGTGTGTGTACAGTGGCAGGTACCAGCAGTGACGGCAGGTACCAGCAGTGGTCCGGCCTGGCTCCCTATAATTAAAGCCTAACTCCATGTACAGTCTCATTTCTTCATTCACGCCTACAACTTTCCATGTTGCAAATGTTCAAAGAATAAGAATGAAAGACATAATTACTGACTTTGCAATTATATATTCTGAGCATAAAAGCAGCTACAAGGTTAGGTGGTGAAATTGGCCAGCTATTGTGCTATATTATTGATGCCTGCAAATTGTAGCAGGACACTTTATTCACACACACACTGTTGTGGCCATTTTGGAAACTTTCTCAATCAATTAGATGTAACCCCATATATTGCTCATGCAATGTGCATGTAAGCCCCATATTACTCCACCCAAAAGAAAATTTGTTGCCTTTCAAAAGCATGTTAAAAGAAGTTCTAATGATGGGATCTTATTCCGCGCCAGGAAATCATAAACAACATTCATATGACAGACTTTCACAGCAAAACAGTGGAAATGCTTTTGTTTCCAAAGTTCTGATTGAGCGGAATAGGTGGTGTCTTTCCTGAAATGCCTGCATAAAGTAGTCTTTTCTTAATCTTTTATTATGCTTTTAAGAAAGAAAGTTACGAGACCACTGTGTTCTATTCCTACAAGTATTTTATTTGGCTGATTCTCATATTGCTAATATTATAGAATTAAAAACGAGAGGAGGGATATGGGATTTCAGAATTTCAAATCTGCACAGTGGGGAAGCTATTTTGCTCTTGTTCATGCAGCCTAATTTTAAAGACAAACCTTTTCAAAGATGGTTTCTCCCTGGCATTTCTCCAGGGGGGGAAAGGGTTCCTAAACTTTTGTATTTATAAGGGGAGAAAGATAAAAGCACAAAACTGTAGATGACAGGGGGATACACACACACACACACGAATGAATAGCTGACATGGGTGGTCACTCAAGAAGAAAAACAAAAATGCAAATCTGAGAAGGGTGTGGATGAGAGAATTGGCAATAAAGATAAAATGGAATGTGGATAAGGACAGATGGAAATATTTCTGAAAAAACAATAACAAATAGATCCAGAAAAGACAAAGAAAGAAACTGTCAAGAGGAAGTACAATGTCTAATGATTCATCTTCACTTCTGTTTGTAATATGATTTCTAGGAATAAGTCGGGGGGTTTTGTTTTGCTCCACCACTTTTCCCAGGAAAACCTGCAGTTTACTGCTGAATTGGAACAATCATCAATAGGGTTTTCTATGGATTGATGTTTGTTCTGATTCAGCAGTAAACAGTTGGTTTTCCCAGGGAAAGCAGCAGAATGGAAAAAAAAACCTCATCAGACCTGTGTCTAGAAATCATGGGACAAACAGAAGAAAACATGAGACAAACGTTAAGTGTGGATTTACAGTAATATCTTTCAAACCAATCACAGCAAATGCAAAGCCACTAACTGAGAAAACGATCGGACTAACACAATTACTGACTCTTCCATTGAGGACCCATGTTCTTTATTTCACATCAGGTCGTCTATATTTGTTACAGTTGGCACACTGTACTAGTTCCCATTTTGTTCTGGCAAGGGGAAATGCTGTGGAAGGGGATAACAGCCTAAACGATGCCAAGTGACCTTTCTTGGCAGCCCACAGCAGAACAGCCAATAAAGATACTCAAACGAAACAAAACATGCAGAGAGATATACACACATGGGTGGGAAATGGGGAAAAAAAATACAGAAAGAGAGAGCAAGAAAACATTTGTTCACAGATTAATTGTTAAAACAGACTCAAAGCACATGATTCTGACAATAACCCAAAGCTCTACAGGGCTGTGTACAGAGTTCCATCCATTGCAAGTACACATTCCCTTTATAGCTTCTTCTCGTTATATTAAAGGCATCTTGTGATTTTAGAGTCATCGCCTAGCTTTTCATATTGACCTCTCTGTCAACAAATCCATGCACATCTGCAATGGAGTCTGTCTATGATAGGTGGGGAACCTCAGACCTGCAGCCAAATATGACCCTCTACACCTCTGTATCTAGCCCATGGGATTCTCCTCAACTCACACACCCTCCCTAGCCACAGCCCAGGCCACACCCCTTGTCAGCCCTGCTTCACACCTTCCTTCACTGTTTTTGCTGGGCTAGAGTAAGTTCTTTAATTCTGGTTATGCCTCATGCTTGTACAAATGGAGGACAGGGCGGGGGTGTGAGTGTGTGAAGAAGCTAGCCTACTGTACAAGTACAGAATTCACATTTGTCACTCTGTTCACTTTTGCCTCTGGCCCTGCCCATCACTGGCATCTGGCCCCTGGAAGGCTGCCCAGCAGGAAATGTGGCCCCCAAGTTGAAAAAGTTCCCCCATCCCTGCTGTGCATGTTGCAGACGATTCTGGAAGTGTTCCCAGGGGCACATTCCATTCACGAAGAGCAACAGCCAACTGTACGGTTTTACCTTTACACTGCATGAATTGTGACCCTAAAGAACACTCACTGTGGCTGTGCACTGGCAGAGAATATTAATAGTATGTGTACAGAAGGCCTGGAGCCAAGCCTTCATATTTCCTACCCCCTAGGTTCACAGCTTGAGCCAGTTCTTTGTTTGTATTTCAAAAGTTTCAGAAACCGTAGGTCCTAAGCATTTGTTGTTGTTTAGTCGTGTCCGACTCTTCGTGACCCCATGGACCAGAGCACGCCAGGCACTCCTGTCTTCCACTGTCTCCCGCAGCTTGGTCAAACTCATGTTGGTAGCTTCAAGAACACTGTCCAACCATCTCGTCCTCTCTTCTCCCCTTCTCCTTGTGCCATCAATCTTTCCCAACATTCAGGGTCTTTCCAGGGAGTCTTCTCTTCTCATGAGGTGGCCAAAGTATTGGAGCCTGAGCTTCAGGATCTGGTCCTAAGCATAGGTCCTTATAATTAATGCCCAATAATTAATGAATTTGGCCCTGTAAAATGCATTTGTGCCTCACTTTCTCTCACAGAAATGCAAATAATCCATTTACCAGTATTGTATATGTACAGACTGGCATTTCAACGCCAATGATATTATATAGACATTGCAAAAAACTTGAAACATCCATTTCACACCAAACACCTGTCTGGAAGCACCCACAGGTTTGTATATAACAATGTCACCCTGTTTATGAAAGGACTTCTGCTTATGCAACCAAAGTTCTTCCTGCTCTTCTTTCTCTGAACCCGTCCCACCGCACATGCACACAAAATCTGCTCCAGAGGCTTGGGAATAGAATAGATTTGGGGGCACTCAGTTGAGGGGGACAAATGGGATTACTTTTTTTATATATACAATCCAACTTCATTTTGTTGCTGCTGTATCCATTGCATCACTCCACTGCACTTTTATCAAACAGCCTTTTAAAATTCATCTAAGGACTTTCACTTATCCATTGATACAAGACGTACACAGTCATACACATACTGTACCCTCAAATTCGTTTGCTGTAACATCTTTCGTGTCTGTCTCTACGACGATTCCATACGCTTTATAATCTGAAATGAAAAAGAAAGCCTTTACATTGCAAAGTCCATTCACAATCAAGTAAATGTCCTCTGCAGTCATACAGTTGGGCTGTTTGCTTAAATCATGTTGCCTGCAAAGGAGATCAAACTAACTAGTTAATTTTTTTTAACTATGCATGTGCAAATGTATTTCAGAGTCCTTTTCTTCTTTTAATCTACAAGTGCAACTCTTATTTCTATACACCTGCATCAGTGCCAAATGTACACTGTATTTTAACTCTAGGTACAGTTCTGGATCATGTATTTAAACATCAGATCAGATGAAATGTAAATTGCCCTTAAAAGAATCACTCGGGTTTCAGCTGAGCAACACCAGGGATAAGCAGTTTTTTGTACTGTTGCACTACAACATCCTTTCGCACAATTCTCAACATCAATACTTCAACCAGCCAAAGAAGGCAGAGGGAGGGGAAGGTTATAATTTTCATGTTATGACTATGGCTCAACAATGATTCTAAGTTGCGCAGCCAAGTTGTGCAACTGGAAATGATATTCTCTGGTCTTTTCAGGGAAGACTGAGGATTATCCAATAGGGATGGTGAAAGTCTTGAGAACCTTTCAATTTAGGGGGCTGCATTTCAAATCCCTTCCATAAATATTACGATTCGCTCCCATTTACAGGTCAGACCATACCAAGTGTGGTGATTCCACATGGAATATGAATATAAGCACTCCCTCTAATGATACTCTGCATCTGAGTGTGCTAACAGCTCTGTTGGAGCCAGGCCAAGTTTGTTGCACTTCAGTCCCACTGAAACCAATCTGGGCTGCATGCATAAGGCTTTTTGAATACCAGCAATTCATCTAAAGCTTCTAAAGATGACTACACGTTTTCATCTAAAGTTATGAAGCATTTTTCTGGCTACCCCTTCCCCACCATTTTTCTACTTTGATTTAAACTAATAAATAATCTAGGAAATGTGTGCATGTGTTTGTGCATTAAATAAAATGTGTGTTTCCACTATGCAATTTACAGTTAGTCTTACCACCGCTGCTATTAAATAATACAGGCAGTATAATTAGAGGGAAATAAATATACATATATTTCAAAAGTCAGCATTTTTTCTACTACTGTTCTTGCTGGTTGCTAGTAAGGACTGTTTCCTCACCCCCACCCCCCATTGAAATAGTTTACTGTTTGCCATTTTCAGGAGAAAAAACAAATGCATGCAAACTTTCACCTTTGTCTTCAGTTACTTTGGAAACATTTTTAGGAACTGTGAATGTGTTCCAGAATTCTGAACAGAGAAATTTATAAAAACGTTAACTGAAAGACTCCTTATACACATAACTGAGAATTAAATAACAAGAAAGCTCAGACAAAAGGTGAGGTGGGGAAATTTTGACTAGAACTTTTCAAAGCTAAAACAAATGTTTTTTGTGTGTGAATCCAGTAGGGCAGACCTCACATGAACCACCTTTCTGAATGCAATACATGCACATACAAAATCACATGTAAGTTAACACATTTTTTAATATATGTTTTAAAAAGCATCCTGGACCTGAGATGTATGTGCACTATTCTTGCAGGCTTGGACCTTTACCAGCACACATTATTAACCACTAGGATGGGGAAGAAATTCAGTTTGGTTTGGATTTTAATCTGGATCTAGCCAATTCTCACTTCCCAAAAGAGCAAGTAAACTGAAGCACAGCTATCCTTTGTAATTCACAGTCCTGCAAATTTTGCAATGCAGTTCATCAACCCCCAAAAAGTGTATTAAAAATGTGCATATCAGGGGAAAGCGTATATAAAATGCATTACATTAGTGAAACTGTCAAAGAAAAAGACACCCTATTAGGCAAAATTGCATGCAAAGTGTATATTAAGAGAAATATGCACTAAAATAAAGACATATTTTCAAGAGATTTAAAAAACAACCACCACCACCAACAACTGATGTAGGCATGTGGTGAACTGAATTTAAGATGGAACCGGGGTGGGGAGGTGAAATGAGAAACTGAGATTTCAAGACCCATCCAACCTCATTAACCGCTTGCTTTCAGTGGGAGTTGCACTGAGTTCCTTGAGCACAATATTACTACATACATCTATGAATTAAGGACACAATTCAGTAACAGAAAACTTTGAAGATTCTGCACAAAGATCCTTTTTCTTCCCATAATGCTTTTGATTTATAAATTGAATAAATATTTTTCAGTTTCTTTTGGTAAGCATCAACAGGATAAAAATGCCCAAACTTAACTTTGAACCAGGCTTGAGATTTTTGCTGCCTCTTCTGTTTCTTGGCAATGAATAGGAAAATGGGGGTCAGGCGTCTTTAAAAAAGCTTAGTGTCTCACAAATAATCGACTTACACTGCTATTGTAAGAGCTGCACAGAGTTTATTTCCATAGCAACAAAGTTGTTGGAAACGCTGCCAATTTATGAAGCCTAAAAATGCAAATGTTGTCCAAATGGCTGCAAAATGAAAATGCTTCATGTCTTTAATATTTTTTTTTTACAGGAATGCAAGATCCACTAAGATTGCAAACCCTGTTGCACCTTTGTACAACAAATGTATCATGTGTGTGATAATTGTGTAGAGGAAAGAATTTTGTGTTGCTGCATGATGTGCTGGGGAAAGATACAGTGGCCAAAATTTCCTCACCTGTACAACTGCTACGGATAGAAGAACTACTTCCTCGTTTGACTACAGCCATCCTACACACTGCCAAGGTCGCTACACCTCCCAGGTACTTTGGGTGTGTGCGCGCGCATGCAGAATGCTACTTGTACAGTCGGGTTTCCCTTTCCTCTCCCTTCTCTGCACAACCTCATAATCTGCTCTGGGGCAGGGAGTTCTCCAATTCCTTGGAGCAGATTTTGACGGTGCATGGGAAACTGAAGAAAAGGAGAGAAAAGTCCCATTAGGGTAGTCTGCTGTGCTAGTGGAACAGTAGTATTTGATGACACCCTTTGACTAGATTATGGAAGCCACCTGGGCCTCAGCACACAGGCTCTCTGGCTTCAGTACACAGTATACTGGACTCGGTACACGCTATACTGCTCAGACCATTGAAAACATCAAACCCAGAACAGCTTCTTCAGAGGCAGCAACCCCCCAGATGTCTCTTCTACAGCTACGCCATGGAAGATGCTTTAACTAGAGCAGGGGTCAGCAAACTTTTTCAGCAGGGGGCTGGTGCACTGTCCCTCAGACCTTGTGGGGGGCCAGACTATGGGTTTTTTTTGGGGGGGGGGAATGAACAAATTCCTATGCCCCACAAATAACCCTGAGATGCATTTTGAATAAAAGCACACATTCTACTCATGTAAAAACACCAGGCAGGCCCCACAAATAACCCAGAGATGCATGTTAAATAAAAGGACACATTCTACTCATGTAAAAACACACTAATTCCTGGACCATCCGCAGGCTGGATTTAGAAGGCAATTGGGCCGGATCCGGCCCCCGGACCTTAGTTTGCCTACCCATGAACTAGAGCAAAGCCAGGCAACATGGGGCCCTTCAGATATTGTTGGTGCACTGGTAGCCAGTAATTTATCGCTTCCAAAACAGACTGCAGCCAAGCTGACTCTCAAAGCCTCGCTACATATCTTTAGGTGCTAGGCAAAAACATTCCTCTTTTTCCAGGCCTTTGGCTAATTAAACAATCTATGGCCTTTTACACCGTGGGTATTGTTGTGTATTTGTTTGTTTGTTTATTGTATGTGCTTTTTGCATTTTTATATTGTAAACCATCCTGTGATCTTTGGATGAAGGGCAGTATAGAAATGTAATTAATAATAAAATAACTAAGCAACCAATATGTCACCCACTACATCAGGGATTGGGAACATGTGGCCTGCCAAGCATTGTTGGAGCACAACTCCCATCAACCCTGACTATTGGGCCCTGCTGCCAACGTTTGAGGAAGCCACATTAGCTATCCTTGAACGAGACGTATGGGGGACTGAGCATTGGACTATGTGCTTACAAAGCATGTGATCCAGTGTGGAGCTACAGCTTGCCTTCCGCAGGCATTGCAGTGCCCTGAACTACTGTTGGAATCTAGAATTAAACCCTTAAAGTTTTACATAATAATGCAAAAACAATGTCATGTAATCTTACTTTTTTTAAAAAAATAATAATTTAAAAACAGAAAGCAATCTTTGTATGATAAAGATCAACTGGCACTTTTTGTAGTAAGCTAACAATTGCAAACTTTCAACTCAAGCCTCTTGCCCTTATTTAGGTCTTTTTAAAAACAACTGTTTATACAAAAAGCAAACGCAAATGGGGCAGATAGGATACAGATGACACAGAACAATGGCAAGGCAAACAGGAAAACGCACAGCAGCACGGCATTTTGCTCTGTGCCTCATTTGTTGGGTTAACGGTGCTACTTTTAAGTGGCCTCAACTGTTGCATTTTTCACTTCCCTTCTTTTATACAAAAGGAAGAGCCTGTCGCTGAAGGTGAATCTCTAAGGAAGCCTCCGTTGCTATGCAGCTCTCTGCTCCAAGCTCTTACAAAGGCAGTAAAGCAGAAAAACCATTCATGAATATTAGCACGCTGACCCAGGATCTTACAAAGAAGAAGAACCCCAACCTTCATGGCTTTTTTTCTGCAGGGCTTTAGACTCAGGAAACTGCAGCAGATTGCATTACCTCAGCTTTGCAACAAAACTGGGCAATACAAAAAATGCTGAGAACTTTTCTTTGTTCAGATTCAGGATTAGTATTTAAGAGAGCCCATGAAGCTTCTCAACAAAGCAGAAGAGAATTGCACTTTACAGTACTGTCAAATGTAGCAAGACTTATCCTGGCTTACCATTTATGTAGCACTTTTAACCATTATTATCATTACCATCATTGAAAAACCGGAGGTTGAGAGTTAACAGCTTGTCAGTGCAATGCATCCACGTCCCTGGCAACTACCAGCCTGGCTTTTCTGTAAATATGTGGCAGGATTTGAAAGTGTCCATCAAGTTGGTAGCATTCTTAAAAATAGTAGTAGCAAGTCCATTAATTTCTGTGATTCTCCAGTGGTTTGACTTCACCTTCGGAGGCACACTCCACTGAGACAGACGGATGCCAACAACAGCTCTGAGTAGAACTTAGCCGGATACAGCTCTAGGAGTTTCAAGTTTCACAGTGGATGCATTCCACTGTGGTGTCTTTATGATACATGGTTTAATTACGCACATATAAAACCAGTGCCTACTGTGGAGGTTTCAAACATCACATCCCAAGTGGACGCCAGCTTCTTCCAAAGGCAGCAGCATCATCCCTACCCTGCCACATCCCACCTGTTATGCGCTTGCTAACCTAAACCCTGGTCTTTGCATTCTTACACCTAGTTCTTTGATGCTTTGTTGTGCTAATGGATCATTACCCCCCAGGTTACTGCCTCAAACAAAACTAGCTTTGTACTGATTGCCTTGGATTAAAGAGGATGGCTGATACACAACTTCTGTACTTTGCCTAGGTTAATTGTCTCTCCACATACGCTAATTCCAGAGGATTAATAGCAGCTAACACACATCTTAAACACACACAGGTCTTGCTACTTCCCTGTTCCAACAGCCCAACATTAATTAAATTCTAACACCAACTTAATCCATAACAGTACAATTTGAGCTTATAAACATTGGATAGCTCTGGAACAATTCTTTACTATACAAAGCTTAATTGAAATTAAAATCAGTTCCCAACACAATATCAAAGTAATTTGCATCTTGTGTGAAAAATGCTACGAGGAAGATATCTTTCATTGATAGGTGTAATCCTGATTTATGGAAGGATCTTGGGACAGGGAAAATGCAGACAGGGAACAATTTCTAAAATTATATTAAGCCATCAAAGCAGAAACATATCAAATCTTCCAATAATCACATCAATTTGAAATCACTACAGTGTACAAGTACAAAGTACCAAATCTGCCGGGAATTAAAGCTTAACAAGCATACTAGTCAGATATCCGACATATTTCAATACACATTGTTTTCACAGCTGTGTGGTTTGGCTTCACCTATCTGTGTTCAACACAGTTCTTGGGTGGGGCATTTTTCTCCACTTCCCCCCTCTTATCTTCATTGAAGTTATATTTATCAAGAGAAAACATAATCTTTGAGGGCATGCTTTTGATTGTTTTCATGCTTGCTACTTTTGCTTTCAGGGGCTCTGACAATCTTTTTTAAAGAAAAATAAAAACAAAACAACCCCCCCATATGTTTCATAACCCTCCTAAGAAAGGAATGAATGTTTTGATTCCTTAACCAGTTTGATGTGGATGTTTGAAGATGTTGTTATACCTTTAAAACATATCTTCAATATTTTCAGACCTAGGACCGACTTTTAACCCAAACATGCATTTGGGGACCCATTTCTTAATCTTTTACCATACATTTGCAGGGTGGTAGTGCTCCTGTTGCAACCCACCTTGGATCAGGCTGTGACCCACGAGTTGAAGACCAGTCCTTTGGGGCACTGTTGTTTGTTAATGGTTGCTGGGAATTGCTCTGTGAGGAGTAAATTACAGGGTCCATAATTCTGTGAGGGAAATAATGTGCTTTGAATGTGCTTTGAATGTGCTGGTGCCAGGTTATTTTGAACCCTAGGCAAGACTAACTACATGCAACTCTCCCCCAAACGGCTAACTTCAATTTTCAAAAACAGGTTTCTTCTAGAAAAGATGAAAAGCACAGAATCTGAAACTGCTGAATTTATTTTAAATTGCAAGATTAAGTATCACAACAATGCTTGATTATCTTTCTGAAACACAAAAGAAAATGCTTTAGCACACAAATCATTTTGAATAATCTTGTGAATTGCGATATAAAAATTTAAGTCTCTTAAAAGTTTCAGTCTCAGGCACATCAAAATATCACTTTGTGCACCTTTCCTTTTGCAATTTTTTCCAACAATTCCTTTAGTAAAGATAAAGGGACCCCTGACCATTAAGTCCAGTCGTGGACGACTCTGGGGTTGCGGCACTCATCTTGCTTTACTGGCCAAGGGAGCCGTCGTTTGTCCACAGACAGCTTCTGGGTCATGTGGCCAGCATGACTAAGCCGCTTCTGGCAAACCAGAGCAGCGCACAGAAACGCCATTTACCTTCCCGCTGGAGCAGTACCTATTTATCTATAGTGGTACCTCAGGTTACATACGCTTCAGGTTACATACTTTTCAGGTTACAGACTCCGCTAACCCAAAAATAGTGCTTCAGGTTAAGAACTTTGCTTCAGGATGAGAACAGAAATCGTGCTCCGGCGGCACGGAGGCAGCAGGATGCCCCATTAGCTCAAGTGGTGCTCCAGGTTAAGAACAGTTTCAGGTTAAGAACGGACCTCCAGAATGAATTAAGTACTTAACCCGAGGTACCACTGTACTTGCACTTTGATGTGCTTTCGAACTACTAGGTTGGCAGGAGCTAGGACCAAGCAACGGGAGCTCACCCCCTCACGGGGATTCAAACCGCCAACCTTCTGATCGGCAAGCCCAAGGCTCAGTGGTTTAGGTCAAGTAATAAATAATATAGTTGCCAAGCCCACGAGTCTCTTTTGTATTTCTTCACACAATATACAACCAATGTACAGCCCACTTGTTCAATGTATTTTACTTCCAAGTCAACTGCCTAAGGCACATTTATCAGACAGCAGGTTCCATTAAACTCTAGGTTTAGTCCCAAGTGAGATGTTTCGGTTCATGGTGCATGGCTGCAGAATCCTATACGTACTTGGCAGAAAGCTCCACTGAACTCAGTGGAACTTCAGGTGTGCTTACTTTACAGTCTTAGAGTACAGTGAAGTTAGTTCCCCGGACCATGCTTTTCACAGCTTCCCCCCACTCCAGTTGTTCACACCTGGGCTTCAATTTGTGTGAACATGGATTTACAACCCAGCACTGAAAACGCTGTGAGTCCATAGTAATCAGCGGGGTGAATCCAGTCTTGTGTGTCACAGCTGCAATCTTCCATGGGAATAAGTCAGGCTTCCGCAACCTCGGCCCTCCAGATGTTTTGAGACTACAATTCCCATCATCCCTGACCACTGGTCCTGCTAGCTGGGGATCATGGAAGTTGTAGGCCAAAAACATCTGGAGGGCTGAGGCTGAGGCAGCCTGGAGTAAGTCTTATAGCCAGATCCTAGGCATGTTGCCTCAGAACTTAGTCCCACTGAGCTCAGGTGAGCCAACTCGCAAGTAAAAATGTACAGGATTTCCCCTCTCCTAAACAAAGTAGAAATCCCACTTAAAAATAAATCCAGATTTCTATGTCTCAAAACTGCTTAGCAAGGCTTTCAACCACTTTCAACACACACTTTAGACTAGGGCTGGGGAAACTGAGGCCCTTGCAACTCCCAACAGTCCTGACCACAGGTGATGTTGGCTGTGGCTCATGGGAGCTGGCGGACAAAAGCACTTGTGGAGAGCCCCTGGTCCCCATCTCTCAAATACCCCCAAACTCCTTCATAATAGCTATCTTTCCCCAGATTCCACGGGACTCATTCCACAGCAGGTGTGCACAGCAGTCTCCTTCCAACCAATTCTCATACAGGCTTAGAAGCAAGGCAAGTGTGAAGGGACACGCCCATGCACCTTAAACGCTTTGGGCAAATGAGCATCCTAAGATTGCAGCGTTCTCAATTAAAGCGCGCGTTGGGAATTGACACCAGCTGACCCCGGTGCCCTCCTGCGGCCCTGCCTGGTTAACAGACCCCCAGCAGGCGCCGCTCCGCTTTAAGCCTCGGCTTCCCCGCCGCGTGCGCCTGCCTCCTGGGGCGGCCAGCGCGTTTCCAGCCGGCCTCGCTAATCAAATCAAATCGAGCGGCGGCTGGGGCGGGGGAGGGCGAGCCCCGTCCTCTGCTTCGCGGCAGTACCGCCTAGTAGGAAGAGTCAGCCCGAAAGAGGAGACAGCCCAGAGAAGCCGGGAGAGGCGAGGTTGCTCTTCCCTACCGGGAGGAGGTGGACCTTTTGTAAGCGAAAAGAGAGGGAGCCACTTGCTGGCGTCGCTCCCTGGAAAAAACAACCAGATGCTCCTCGCAAGGAGGCGGCGGCGGCGGCGGCGAACTTGGCTGCGCGGCGGCGAGGAAGGACTTGGGGTTTTTCAGGCGAGCTGAGCGCCCTCTCCCCCCAGGAGAGAAAGAGGGAGAGCCGCTGCCCTGCGGGGAAGGAGAGGCCAAGACAGAGAAGCGACTTACAGCCCAGGAAGCCCAAGTGCCAGAAGAGCAGCCAGAAGACGCGGCGGCTCGCCATCTTCGCAGCAACAGCTGGCTCGCCGCTTTTCCTTTCGCCCCCACGAGGGAAGGGGCCGGGGGCGGGGAAAGAGAGCCTGGCGACGCAGCTGGACGGGGTGGGGGGGGGTCGCGTTCTCCGGCTCCACCCTCCCTCCGCCCGGGCACCTCGAGCAGGGGAGGGGGACGGCGCCTCTCCCGTCGAGCCGGGGAGATGGGCAGGGGTTTCCGCTGGGTCCTAGGCGGAGAGGGACGGGCCCGAGCTGCTCAGCCTCCCCTGCCTCGCCCCTCTGCACATCGACGGACGTTTCCTTTAACTCCGAGGCAACTTCTCAGCAGAAGGGGCGGCCAGAAGCAGCCGAGGAGAGGGAAGGGATCGCGCTGCTTTTTGAAGGCGCTGGAGAGAGAGAGCTTTTTGCCTCTTTGCCGGACAACAAGCCCGTACCAGATTTCCTTATTGCATCGACATGCCCCCCTTTTCTCGAAGGAGCTCGAGGTGGCGCACGTGGTTCTCCTGCTCCTTACTAAAGCTCCACAACAACCCTGCGAGGGAGGTTGGCTGAGAGGCAGTGACTGGCCCAGGGAGCTTCATGGCCGAGTGGGGATTTGAACCCTGGTCGCTGCCCATATCTTAGCCCGACACTCTTCACCGCTGCCCCACGCTGCGTCTAGCCTCCCATTCCATTGGGTATTACAGTTCTGTGGGGGCTTAATTTTTATCTAGCACATCTTCATTTATGTCGTTATAGCCCAGCTTTTCTCCAAGGTGGTGTACATGCTTTCTTCCTTTACATTTTTGCCTCACATCCCTGTGAGGTAGGCTGAAAGACGGTGACTGGCCAAAGGTCAGTCCCCCTTTTCTAAGGCCCATAAAAATATATTGAAACAAACGATCAGGAGCTCCCATTATCTCCTGTGCCCCTTCAGTTGTATCCCATTGTTTCCAGTGAGCATTCTTGCTGTTCCTCTTAGTACATCCTGCCAGGCAACCCTTTGATGGTCCACCTTGCATCAAAATGATCTCATACCCATGCCTAGAACACCACCAGTTTCCTTTTGTGCGTGTGTGTGTGTGGTGCTTCAATAAAGAAAGCAAGAGTGGATTCCCTGGTCCTGGAAGACTGTGGCTGCAAGCCTAACCTCAGTCACCTAGCAGTAAGCTCCACTGACATCAATATGACTTACTTCTGAGTAGGCATGGTCAGGATTGCATCAGAAACGGGCTAGGGATTTTAACATGTCAGAAACACACTTCAGTTAACTCTCCAAACATCAGCTCTTGGGAGGCAGCTGTCCAGCTTTGCCATGTGCTGGCACTAGTTGAAGTCCACTGTGCTGCATTGACTGATGGTGCTGGATTCAGTCCCGTGCTATGTTAATGCAACATGAGAACATTTCTTATTTTAGGAGCATAAGAGCCTGCTGCATCATCGGGCCAATGGCCCATCTAGTTGAGCATCCTATTTCCATACTGGCCACCCAAGACGCCTGTTTGAAACCTGCAATAAGAGTTTGAACACAAGAGCATTCCCCCCCCCTCCCCTGCACTATGCAGCAACTGGTATTCAGAAGCATCGCTGCCTCCAGCTGTGGTAGTAGAGCAGAGCCATCCTGGCTAGTAACCATCAACAGCTTTCTCAATGAATTTGTCTGATCCTTTTTTAAAGCCATCCAAATTGGTGGCCATCACATACTGTAACAGTACAGTTGTCTTACAAGGCTCCTCCCAATGACTTGTTCATTGAGCATTCATCCTAATTTGCTTGCACAAAGCCTGAAGTTAGACTATACAGTATGTGGTCTTTAGTGAGCATTCATCCTGAATTGCTTGCAGAGTGTTTGATTTGCTCATTCCCCACATTTTCATTCATTTCCTCAATACTTTTCTAAGTTTCTTTTCTAAAGTGAGTATGTTGTGCTAGAGAGCATGGATAGCCACCGTGGCATCCTCCAGATGTTGACAGATGCAACTTTCATCAGCCCCAGCCAGTAGTCAGGGATGATGGGAGTTGTAGTCCATCAGCATCTTGATGGCACCACATTGGTCACCCCTGTACTAGAGCAATAAAGTGCTTTAATCCATTTTAATCAATAATTTAATTATAAATAAGTTTCTATATTAATATTTTAACAACATAAGATATAAACAGGGTGGAATCCAACACTGCACAAACAGGGTTTTTCCTGTGCAATGGGAATTCATCTGCCTCTCCTTCAGCCTATGTGCTTCTGCACACCCTCAAAGCCTGCTCCGGAGGGCCATTGAAACACATACACAAAATCCCCAAACAATAATTATCCCTCTCTGCTGAAAGCAACTAATAAACCCCAGAACTTAAGAGAGAAAGGAAAACAGCCTTAACCTATTCATAGTGAGGAAAGAAAAGTTTTTCAGCTCAAGGCTTTGCTAAAGAATCAGGTTTTGGCAAAATGCCAAAAGCCATAAATTGTCTGCCACTTGAAAAAGATTTGGCCTGGATGAAAAATAAAGGAAATTCACTGCTATTGGGTGTTCCTGCACTAAATGATAACAAAAGAACAATGTTTGTTCTTCTCATTGGGGGCAATCTCTTCTCTGTCAAGGGCACTGTTCCCCTTCTCAGAGCCAAAACTGGGTTAGGCACCCCCTTTTATCTCCCCACCCAACCTCTTTGCTTTCTCTCTTTTTGTCACTCCTTCCTCTCCAACTTTCTGCCACCCACTATTCTCTCCCTTTGTGTTCTCTTCTCCCCTTGTTCTTCCCTCTTTGCCATATATATGGAATCAGGCCAAGGGTTGCATGAAATTGAGCCAGGGGCCACACGCTACCCACCTGCCTTCTATGGAGTAGGTGAGCCTTGACCGAGAGATTGGGGAGAAATTTGATTCAGTTCATATTTAAAGGTGAACCTGCCTATTTCACACGTTCCAAAACAATACATCAGTGAAAAGACAACCAACCATTCTTTGAAATTCACACGTCTCCAAATTTGGCAATGCAGGTCTCTACAAAAATGCATGTGGTAAGTGTGCATGAAAATGTAAACATTCATGAAAAGAAGGTATAAAAATGCATGTTCAGGAAAGCTGCTTATATTTATTTAAATGTATACATTTGGAGAACTAGGCTCTTTATCACAGAAATCCAGAGGCTAGGAAAGAACAGCAGAGGAGCAGCAAAAGAGAGCTGAGGCTATGATCCCTGATGGGTCTGTCCTGGTGCACCATGAGATATAACCTGGGGTAGTGGTGAAAGGCCACTATATAGGACGAGAGATACCACTGTCTGAATTTGTCCCCATAAAGATATTTACTTGTTGCCTTCTAACATCTGAGGTGCCATCTTCTTAACCCAGCATGGATCCAATGGATACTTGAAATGTTGAGCTATCTACTCCTGTTCCCGAGACCATAGACTAGCAAGCCATTCCTGCCCTAGCTACACATTAAAATATCAAACCATGCGATTTTGGTTCCTATTGTGGTCTCCATCATGTCATCAGTGGCTGGCTTTTGTTATGAGGTTAGTCAAATATGCCAACTGTGGTACCAGCCAAACTGATCAAAGGCTGTTGGAACTTGGTCATTTTACAGATTGTATCTGGAGAATTTCTGCATATGAATCTAAGGTAAAAAGCAAATATAATGAACAACTTTTTGTGTATGCACATGAGAGGGAATGTCAAATTACCCCCCCCTGCAAAAGTAAAAGTCTATGAAAAGAAAAAACAAGTTTTATTTTTTAATTAAAGAAATTCAAATCTCCAAACATTACAATTATTATAATATAATCCAAATATATAATGAAAACAAACTATTCAAAACAAACTCTTAACCATGAAAAAGGAAGTGAAACCAGGATAATTTGTACTATGGAATTAAGAGGTGCATGGCTAAAAGAAAGCATGCTGGGGGGAAAAATGAAACAATGTCTCTAACAAGTATATCAATTTTTCTGCTGGTGTGGCTGTTTGTCTTTTGCCATTCAAGACGTTACATCTCTCCATCATCTTCAAAAAGGCCAATTTATAATTGCTCCACAGATGATTGCAGCTTTGTCCTTCTTAAAAAAAACCCCTCAGTATTGTCCAGGACATAAAATAAATGTTGACATGCAGTCAAAATTTCAAAAACAGTTCTATCTCATGGAAGTTGTGAAGAAGTGGTCTTTAGGGCAAGCATTGGCTTCCTTTGGCTCATGGCATGCAGTCAAATCACAAGGTGAAAAAAAGAGATAATGACTGAAAGGGTAATTTCCACAAAAAGAAAATGCTTGGGAATCCAAAACAGCTTCCAGCATTGGGGCTGGAATTTTGTAAGAGATGAAGAAAAATATAGCTCTACTTGAAAGGTCTCATTATCCATGATTAATAGGAAGAGAGTTTAATCCAGCAGTGGATCTACCAACTTTTATCCAAAAGAATGAATGACACATCTTTATAGGTATAGTCTCTTCCCAGCCTGGTCTTAATAGACATTTGTCCCTAGATGACTCTGCCAGAAAGAAGATTGGAGGAGGAGGATAAAGGAGAGAGGGAAATGGAGAGGGAAAGTAGGATGCAAAGGGTGGGGAGATAGATACACACACACACACACAGAGAGAGAGAGAGAGAGAGAGAGAGAGAGAGAGAGAATACAGTCAGCAAGATTTACACACACACATACATATGCTTGTAACCCAATCTTGCTGGCTGTATCCTCATTATCAGAAAGAAACAAAATACAAAAAAATGGCCTCCATCCTTAAGGAAGCAGGAATTCAGTCCTTTAGGAAGTATCCATTGTTCCTTAGCTGGTGCAGAAGCCTATCTTCTTAACTATCTCACTTATAAAACACATAACTTCACAATAGTTGATCCAGACACACTCTCTGATCAATTTCATAGATTCTCATAATCGTCCTCTTAGAGATTGTTATTTATACCAAACAGAAAGCAGCAGCAACAACAGCTGGAGTTGGGCTGAGAAATGAAATGTCCACAAAAAGGTTTCAGCCAACACACAACTCTTCCATCATGCTTTAATATAAAAAAGCAAAAGGAAATGTCCCAGTTGCTGGAAAGGCAGGCTGATGGTTATGTTTCAGAAGTTTACTGGTCACTGCTGTTGGCATGGAGATAACTTAGGTTAAAAGCAAACATGGAATTCTGAGGCCGTGTATGATGTCACAAGCAGGATAAGCTCAGTGGAACTTGATGAAAGCATTTAAGTGTTCTAAGGTGTTTTTCTGAAATGAAATTAAGACCAGCAACAACTTCTAAAATGGAGCCCTCTAGCAGCAAAAGAAAGAAAAAAAGCTGCTACTTTAGCACAAGCACAAAATTAGATGTTACCCAAATGGAGCCTGCTCCTCCCAAACAATTGTAAGAACCGAATGCATTTTATTTGTTAAAATTGCAAGCTTGGTATGTATAGGCTGTCACCGATTTACTACACCATACTTCAGCATTTCTCCTCTCATCCAGGGTGAGGTCCATATGTGAGCACCATTTGGGCAGAACTTCCTTAGCAATGTTAGCTAAACCTTCTGGACAGCTGTTTGTGGGCTCCTGTTGAGGATGTGCCCCATCTATAGACAGAACAGGAATCCCTCCCTTCTCAGACTCAAATCTTGAAACATTGAACCATTATACTAGAGTGGTCAAAAGTTAAGTTGAGGAATGAGGGTGACAGGAATTAGCCTCACGGTATGTGGATACACTTTTGAGAATCCATAATTATTGTTAAAACCGCAAGTAAATTTCATTTATTTGAAGGAGGTCGACCAAGATGGTTCTTACAAGCATTTTCAAATGATCTGCACCTCAATATATAACCTGGCAAAAAGGCTCCTGTGAAAAAGTCTCCATATGGTAACACAGTTACCAGGTCCTGCAAAATAGTAAAAAATAATGTTATGATATGAATTTCCCTTCAAAGCATTAGATGGAAGAGTCACAATATGGTGGGTTAGCATCTCCAAGATAGTAGCATGAATCAGGTCCCAAAGTCCCAAATAAGATTAACTCTTTTCTGGGCAAGATATCCAGAGTTTCTATTGATCATCTGAATTTGATGAGTTATGAGTTGACTACTCAGTCTGCAAATCATTCTAAACCTCTTCCTCTATGGAAAAAATATATATACATCCAATATCACAAATATTGTCACAAAGATTACCCAATTTCCCAGTGTTCAGATTCCTTTAGAAGATGTTTCTTATTGTGTGATGTTTTATCGTGTTTTTAATATTCTGTTGGGAACTGCCCAGAGTGGCTGGGGAAACCTAACCAGATGGGTTTCCCCAGCCAATAATAAAACCAATTAATAATAATAATAATAATAATAATAATAAATAAATAAATAAAACCCTATTATTATTGTTATTATTATTATTATTATTATGACTCTGAGTATATCCCATTTGTGACATCATACAAGACGTTAGAATGCCATCTTTGATTTAGTCTAGGATATCTCCATGCCAACAGCACTGAGCAGGAAACCTTTGTAACTGGATAATGATCAGGCCAATTATCTAGCATCTTCAGTGTTTATTTTGGTCTCCTAAACTAAGGCTGTGCACATTTATTCCAGCTGCAATGTGCTCCCACCACTGGGGTTTGAAGCCAAGTACACATGATGTTAGCCACAATCCATTTTTTATCCTGTAGTTTCTTGAAACAATCCTGTAGTTTACTGTGTTTAGATGTGTTTTCCCTCAAACTAGCTTTCATCTGATCTGAAAACTTAAGCCACAGTTAAGCTGAAGTGTGTACATTTGAGACAGTCATTATGCATGAGATGACAGCTCCATTGGAATTTGGTGCAGGGCAACCAATCAGGTAATGCACATCGAGGGAAGAAATCCTCACCCCCCTATCTGGTATGTACAGCAATATTAAAAAGCAAATTTAAATGTTGTGTGGGTGGAGAGGGGATGACCTCATTGTCTTTTAAACTGCTAATGAGTACATTGCCTTTGTCTGACAGAGTTGTGTGCAATCTGAAAACCTGCTTCCAGTATTGAAAACTGTCCAGCACAGTTGATCCAATTAATTGTGTCATCTCACTTGCTGTGTGTGACAATGCAGAAGTCAGATGTAACTGCTTGAATTTACATTCTGATCTGAATATTTATTTTTACCCTTTCTAGTTGCTTCATGCTCTGGATAACATGGAAGTTTTCATATGTACAACTCTATGTACAAAGGTTTTGTCTTTGCAGACATTCACGCTATGTACAGTGGCAGACCTTGGGATCTCAAATTTCAGCAGTGCCTTGTGTGATGCCAAAATTCGGTGCTCCCCCACCAGCGCAGTGTTTTTTTGGTGGTGGTGGTGGGGGGGCACAAGGGGGCAGCTGTACAAACCAGTCAGTGCTGATATAATATATGCCAGGGGTTGACTGAGTGCTGGGGGCGCCAGTCACAAAATAGCTGTTGGGGAAAATGGCATTACACGAAATGGCTGCCATGGGGAGCTTGGCACAACACAAAACTAGAGACAGCTGCTCCTGATGCTCCTTGTGCTTACCATGGGATGTCAGCTATGTTCTGCTAGTCCTGGTTGTGCATGGAAAATCAATATTTTCCATGCACAATATTGTGGCGATATCCACAAGCACTGTCGTTGTTGAATAGCAATAGGCAGCATCCTCCAGTACCTGGAAAAGTGGCCACACCACACACACACACTCTCATATTTCACAGAAATGACTTAGATCTGGCACCCCCAATCTTTAGCCCTCCAGATGTTTCGGTCTACAATTTCCATCACCCCTGACCACTGGTCGTTAGCTAGGGATCATGGGAATTGTAGGCCAAAACATCTGGAGGGCTGCAGGTTGGGGATGCCTGACTTAGATGGTACCTGCCCATTTTGCCCTATAACTTTCTAGGGTTAGAGACATACTTTTTCTTTTTAAAGAAAGCTCAGCGTCAGTCTAGGGCACCTGAGGCATCCTTGAAAGCCTTTACGGGTGCCAAGGCACCTGGTTGCTGGTGATCACTGTATGAATAGAGAAAGGGCCTGTTTGCAACCCCTCCGTCTCCTGGCTAGCTTCCTTGCAGCAGCTGCACAGCGGACAAAAATCAAATAGGCATAGTAGCTCTGCCCACTGCTGCACCTCTTGCATTTCTGCCTGTCCAGCTGCAGCTGTCAAAACGGGCTGAAAGAATCGCTCGAGCAGGCGAGAGAGGAGCAGGCGCCTCAGTCCGCTCCTTCCAAACCCATAGACCATGAGGGGCCGTTTCACGCGCGCCCTCCGCCTCCAGAAGCTGCGCGCGCGCGGGGGGGGGGGGGAGCCGTAACGAGCCGCGCTGGGAAAGAGAGGCGGAACCTTTGTTTCGCAGCAGCTGTTTTCCGGAAGGCGACGACTGTTGGTGCTCCGCTTCGAGGGGCGAAGGATCCGCCTGGCGATGGCTTCTCTTTGGAGGAGCCGCGGAGTGTGGCGAGGCTGCAGCCGGAGTGAGTGCGCCAGGGAATGGCTGGGCCAGGCTGGCGGGTGTGGGGAGAGAAACCTTCCCATTCCCCATTGATTTGCACGGCCCCTTTCAGCACGTGGGGAGCTGCAGTGCTTTGCTTTCCCAAGTGAAGGAATGGTGGTTTCCCACCCACCCATTTGCCCTTCGAAAGCATGATTTATTTATTTTTTGCACGCTGGGGCCTGCTTGTATCTTGAATTTTTAAGCCAAATGAGGTAGGCGCCTCATATATTCCAAGCTGAACCCTGTAGGTTCATAACGAGTTCAGAGGCTGTGAGCTTTGGATCCAGTTTTGCTCTTTGTGGGTGGCGCCGTGGTCCTTCCTCTCTCTCTCTCTCTCTCTCTCCAGAGATATTGCAGCTTGGTAAACCTTATGCTTTGCTAAGTTTCAATAGGGCGAATAGGAAGTCTAATTTGTGATTAGGGCAGTGTGTGCTGCTGGGATAGGGCACTTTTTGATGTGCTCTTGTGCAGTATACAGAAGCTTTGTGCTGTGAGCAGGGCCCATCCGTTTTGTATGTTCTGAATAATTTGACTGGCATATATATTAGTGGACAGATAATAGTGGCACCCTAAACATTTACAGGGACACACCTGCCTTTTTAAAAAATGCCTTTTGTTTTGTGTGCAAGTGGGAGGAGGAAAAACACTGTGATTATTCCATCCCACAACTTTTAAAGGGTTTGCCATAACTCCTGCACCATTTTTTGGACTTTGAAATGTATTTTATGTATTTTTTCCAAAGAGCTCAAGCTACTTCTCCCTTCCCAATTATGCTCACAACAGCCCTGTATGCTAGGTTAGGTTGTGCAGTGTGTCTTGCCCATGGTCACCAAATGAGCTTCATGATGTGAGTGAGGATTCAAAACTAGTTCTCCCCAGTACTAGTTCAATACTGTAACCACTACACCATGATGAAAATTTCCTCCCTTCCTTCAGTTACAGCAGTGAACATATTAATAGTAATTTCCTGTACAACACTGGTACCCCTCTCCCTAATGTAGCATGTGGTGATAAGACTATTAAGCTGGATCAAGTTAGTTCTAGCTATGAAAATATGGATGTGTGGAAAGGCCCCTGAATACTGGCACAGCAGTATTGCTTTTAGATCCAACTTGTTGGTAAGGTCTAATAGAATTGGTTATTTAAAGAACATGTTTGAACTTCTGAATATATGAAGTACTTTTTTCTTATGCTGATTATTCATTATAGATATTGATGGTGAGTAATGAACTTACCTAATAGTTTCAAAACTTGTCAACGTCTTGTTTACTGCAACATTTTTTGATAATATAGAAGTTATCTACTATTCCACTTACCGTAGATCCTTAGAGCTTGCTTCCAAAGAACTGTTCTGGAATGGGATTGTTTTGTTTACTAAAATGAAGCAATATGCTGTTTGATGAGACTTCTTTTATTTCCAGGGCTTGTTTCAACAGCTCCCGCTCCTCAACTCTCAGTAGCTGAGATTGCTCAGATGCGCAGTGAGCTCTTCACAAAAGAGAAAGAGAGACAATTGTCACTTTATCCACGAATTGAGAAGATTGAAGTTAAATATGTTGGCAAACCTAATCCAGGCACTTTTTTAATAATGAACAAAGGGCTTTCCACTCCTTACACTTGTGCTATGCGTAAGTACTTTCAAATGGAGGGCTGTAGTTATTTCACCCTTAAGCCAAATGGCAAATCAAAACCACACTTTTTAAAAGACGGAAAGTGCATCAGCTAATCTTATATGAAGAAGAATGTCCTTGTGATAAATGTTCCTTTTTTTAGTAAATCTAGTTCACTGTTCCAAAGGTAGTACAATCAGGTCCATTACCCAGTTGCTCCTGTACCCCATTCAGAAATCTCTCCCTCCATAGGTTACTCCCATCCCTTTATATTTTATCATCTATTAATGGGGCCTAGCAATCTGGTATGTTGAGAGTAGAGGTCCCCCCCTTTCATGGGCCCCCATTCCTTTAGGAGTAACCTGCCAATGGAAGACAGAGCCACTCTTTCTGTCTCTCACTTTCAGGTGTTCAGTCTTTCTCTCCTGCATCCTATTCTTCCCTGCCCAACAGGTTGCTTGCATGGGGAGGCAGACTGCTCTTCCAAGGACTTGAATGATCCCTTCCAGGTGGTTTTCGAAATTAGGCTGAGGTCCAGTGGTTTTCCACCCTTTTTAATTTCCATCATTGTTAGTTCCACCTTTCCCTAGCCATCAAAAGGATGCCTGCCTGATTTTTAATTTCACATCTATCAGGAATTCCTAACAAGCTAAGAAGGAGAAGTATGCTCCATCCATCCAATTTCTTTACAACACTCTACAAGATGATCTAAAAAAAATAAATAGGCTGACTAGGTCCTCTCTTTTCTCTTCTGTTATCCCAAATGGTTTTGAGCTCTGATAGTGTCTGGCAGTGAAGGCTGAGCAACAGCTGGTCCATGGAGAATGCCGCTGCTGCTCACTCTTTTTTAATTGATGGTTTATTGTCTGGCTGATTATTGTAAACAAAGTACAACTATACTATCACTGTTATTTTGCTGTACTTTTTGTACTTTTTCTCCTTTCCTAGATTTAAGTGAATGGCACAGTAAGAGATCCATACTTGCCCTTGTAGATGGACAAATCTGGGATATGTACAGGCCTTTGACTCGCTCCTGTGAAATTCAGTTTCTTACTTTCAAAAGTGAGGATCCAGAGGAGGTTAACAAAGTATGTTTGTACCATTTTTCTTCACAGTGTTTTCTTCCCTTTGAGTTGAAGCTTTTTTTGAATAAAACCTAAGGAAGAGAAGGATTTGGATCTTGTGTGTTGAATACAAGCACAAAGATGAGGGCAGAAAATAATTGGTACATAGTCATACATGGTTACTCTTTATGTATCATTCAGAATATTTAGCTTCCTGGTTTTCTTCTATTTTTAAATCACACACTTCTGTAGTACATTTATATCTCTTTCCACATAACTGCATAAGCAATACCACTCTTGTTTATAGTAGAACAGTAAGAAATGCAGGACAATAAGGGTTGAATCCAGAATAGATCTATTTTACTCTGAAAGAGGAAGGCAGGGAAGGAAACTCCCCCAATTTCTCCTTTACCCTGTGTGTTCTGGAAAGCTCTCCAGAAAATTGTGAGACCCTCTGGAATAGTGTGGGAAGCAGGTTGAGGAGACAGGAAAAAGGAGGAATCATTGATGATCACTTACTCCTTTTCCTCTGTCAGAGAGTCTCTGTTGGATCTTGGTGCTTTCCAAAAATGGAAAGAGTCTGGCCATTCCTGTAATGGGAAATCCGGATCCTACCATATAGCAAACAATTTCTGGAAAGATTTTGTATGTGTGGCTCTGTTCTAGAGGGCTTCATATCTTTCAACAATTACTAGTCCTACACAGTACATGAAAATGGAGGACAGCTCCACTCCTCACATTTCCACTTCTCTACCACAAGCAAACTTTATGTCAGAAGTGAGGTGGAGAGATATCCATGAATATTAGCAGCTGTCTTATTGCATCTTTTGAGACTATTATGCTCTGTTTTCACTTGAACTGAACTGTCTTGGCATGATGTTAGAATAAATAAAGTTTGTTTGAAATCCTTTGTTGCAGGCCTATTGGCGCTCTTGTGCTATGATGCTGGGGTGTGTATTAGAACAGGCCTTTAAAGATGAATACCCAGTCACTCTTGTTAGGGCTCCGGAAGTGCCAGGTAAATGTTTTGCTGTTGCAAACTTTTATTGTTCTTGAAAGTTGATGCATTGTATATTGGAACACATGTAGAAGGTTCTTTGATTAAAGGTCTGCTTAATTTATGCATTTCAAAAGCTCTGGTAATTTAGGGTAATTCTAATCTCGTATTAGTGGACTTCCCCATCCTCTCCTCAGCCCTGTAGTGGCCCCTTGCCCTGTGTGAGGAGATTGGGGAAAGAGAAAACCTGTTTTTCAGATGGATCAAATAATTGTTATCTGTTTGCCTCATTAATGGCCATTGCCATATCTTGTAGCAGACAATTCTATAAGTTAGTTAAAAGTTGAATGACAAAACACTACTTAGCTGTTTGGAATCTATTGTTAGTCAACTTCATGGAATCTCAGTGTAACTTACCTCTGATAAAAATTGTAGAAAACATAAAAGGTCTGAGCAGATAAAAATGCTTTCACCTTTGCCGAAAAGAGAACAACATAGACACTGGGAGAACCTCCCTGAACCTTCCTTAAAAAGGGACTTCCAAAGATGAAGTGCAAGTGTAAACCCTTTTCTCCAGTCACCAGAAGGTGGTGAAACCCAGAGCAGGGCATCAGAGGTTGACCTTAATAGCTACCCAGGTTTTATTTATCTTTCCTGTAGAGAAAATGCCCCACCCCCTATGGTCATTGTGGTTGCTCTCCTCTTTTCCTACTCTAGTCTATTGCTACCCTTTTTAGACGGTGCAACCATAATCATACCCAATATTCCACACTGGCTGCACCATAAACATGTATATGAGCATTCCGATACTGTAGGAAGCCCCATATGTTGGCTACCATTAGGATTGCAAAATAGGTTTAGTTCAGACTTAACTTCAAAAATTACTCATTTTCTTTTGGATCTTGACTTGCCATGCAGTGATATCTGGAGCTTTTTGCTACGATGTAATCTTGGACAGCAGGCTGGACGACTGGAAACCAACTGCTGTAAGTATGATGATTCACTAGACATGTTCCAGTGTACTCTTTATTTGGGGGATAATTGGTTATTCAATGTTACAAAATACAGGGAAATTTTCACCAAACACAGATCTACTTGCCGGCAAATACTGTCCAGTAGATGTTGACTAGGATGTATCCAACATTGCCTGTTCCCGAGCAGAAGAGGGTTCTGCTTGTGCATCGGGATTTCCTCTTCCTCTCCTTTCCTCTTCTTCATGCCCTTAAAATCTGCTCCAGAGGAGTGTGGGACCCTCTGAAACAAATCTTGGGGGCACATAGGATGCTTGAAGACGGAGGAGAGGAAGAGGTGAGAGGAAAGCTGCTTATGCATTGTTGGAGTCCACCCTGAGTTGGCTCCCACCAGCAAAGATGACTCTTGCCTATTTCCTTCTTCCATCCCTTGTCTCTCATCCCCTGAAAATCTGTTCCAAAGGTTCCAAAGCAATATGAGAGACAGCACAGAAGGTTGCAGGATGGAAGGAGAAATAGGTGGAAAATGCTTATTTCTCTTCAGCGCATAGGGTCTTCTATTGGATCTCAGTACCATCCATGAATTTCAGAAGCTCTTCTGTTCACAGAAGTCTCCTTAAGATCCAAGCCATAGCACTGCATTCAGGCTTGGAGTCACATCTTGGGGAAATTTAGGTCTGCATTGGCAAAACTTTATTTAGGATAGTCCTTTTCCAGCATACCTGTTATTGACTGAGCAGAACAAGGCATCTGGAATTACTCAAGCATTTGTATTATATGGTGTAAGGCAGGGGTATGCAACCTAAGGCCCATGGGCTGGATGCGGCCCAATCGCCTTCTAAATCCGGCCTGTGGTCCGGGAATCAGTGTGTTTTTATATGAGTAGACTGTGTCCTTTTATTTAAAATGCATTTCTAGGTTATTTGTGGGGCATAGGAATTCGTTCATCCCCCCCCCCCAAAAAAAATATAGCCCGGCCCACCACATGGTCTGAGGGACGGTGCACTGGCCCACGGCTGAAAAAGGTTGCTGACCCCTGGTGTAATGATAGCAGTATATTGTGTACAGGAATATATAGGGTATATTCCTGTATACAAGGGTAGCAGTATATTATGTACAGTATATTGTGTACAGGGTATTGTGTTTGCGCATGTACAGGAAGTGTGTGTATGTATATGTAAGGAAACACAAGTGGACTGGTTGGATGCTAAAATGCAATCTTTCCCCAACCTCCAGGCAGTTTAGACTACAAGTCTCATCATCTCTGGCCATTGAGCATAGAGGCTGGGACTGAAGGCAGTTGGAGTAAGCTGAGGAATAGGGAGGCTCATCTATTCCTGTTACTGCTCTGGTATTTTCTCTAATTAGTGATAACCCTGTGGATAGCTCAGTCAGTAGAGCATGAAATTTAAAATCTCAGGGTCGTGGGTTCAAGCCCCATGTTGGAAAGAAGATTCCTGCATTGCAGGGGGTTGGACTAGATAACCCTTGTGGTCCCTTCCAATTCTATGATTCTAAGCATTAAAAGAAATGGATTTTTAGACCATTTCCGCTAAATAAATGCGGAAACGAAAAGGTCTCCAGATAAAGATCAAAATAGCTATGCCTCATTTTGTAGTGTGCACAGTAAAAATGATTCTCTAGAAATGATTCCTCCCCTTTTATTTGTATTAGTTTCAACAGTGAAAATGAGAATTAATTAACTACAAATTAGTCTTTATAAACTGAGATTGACCTTCCGATGCAAGAGCTTGTATAATAGAGAAGGTCTATTACAGAGCTTTCTGAGCTGTTGTGTCACGACACGTTTGTGTCGGCTGCAGTGTGTAGGTGTGTCGTGCGAACGCTCCTGCGCTCCTCCTGGGGCTGGAAAGGGGGTTGTTTAACCTCCAGTTTGCTAGTAAAACTGAATTACCATGTCACAAAATGATGCATATCTAAAATGTATGCCACCAACATGAAGCGTTTGGAAATCTCTGGTCTCTTATTTAATCCGTAAATGCAGTTTCAGGCTGGTTCCAAAGTAACTACTATTCGCCTTACTTGGAAGTAAAGTAGTGAGAGCACTTTTCATGGGTGGCTGTAAAACCAAAGAAGCTAAATAATGGTCTGCCCATGGCTTCAAATCTGTTGTCATACTACATTTTCAGCCATACTGATATCAAAGTGCTCTCTGCATCCTCCAAGAGTGATAACTGATGCTTTCAATGGGCACCTCCCAGGAACTGCAGGACTGCAGGGTTAAATTTATTAGACTTTCCCCATTAACCTAAATTTGTTCCATGCATCTCCACCCAGTCTATGGGGGGGTGGGGGAATGAAACATTACAACAAGGAAAAATCACCAGGAACAGTTAATATTTACTATCTGTTGTCTCTATATTGCATTGTCTTGCCTTACTCCAAGGCTGAGCATAGGCAAGACTTATCCTAATTGGTTTGGCCTTGGAAAATCCACTGGAGGATGAGGGCTAATCCTTACATAGCATGGATTTCAGTCATCTGAGCTAACTTGCATTCTGTATTTCTTGCTTGTCTTGTTGATCTGTGTATACATACATTTTTTCTTCTTTTCCAAGGAAAGTCTCCATTCTCTTACAAAAGACGTTAACAAACTAATTCATAAAGACCTTCCATTTGAAATGCTGGATGTTGATGCAAAAGTGGCGCTTGAAATTTTTCAACATAACAAGTCAGTATTACTATATTTTGTTTAATAGCACATGTTGTTTAAAAGCAGGCCACCTGTATCTTCTGCTGAAATTGTGTATTGTTTTCCACGAGATAAGTTTTATATATAATTTAAATGAGTTTTAAAGCTGATCCAATTGGTTACATTAAACAATTACAGTGGTACCTCGGTTTACGAACTTAATCCGTTCCGGAAGTACGTTCTTAAACCGAAACGGTTCTTAAACCGAGGCATGCTTTCCCTAATGAGGCCTCCTGCCGCCAGTGCCCTTCCACCATTTGGATTCTGTTCTTTGACTGAGGTAAAGTTCTCAAACCGGGACACTACTTCCGGTTTTGTGGAGTTCATAAACTGAATTGTTCGTAAACAGGACTGTTCTTACACCGAGGTACCACTGTAATGTTAATTTTCAGCTACTAAGGTACTGACCTGAAGTTTTGCCAGTAGATGGCACTACAGTTGCTGGTAATTAAAGGAATGTGGAACAAGTCAGATCAACCAAGCAGCCATATATGTTATGCATACCTGTGAGAGAGCTTACATATGCAACTTATTTTTTTGCTGTGTAGTAGATAGTCTAAATTAATCTACTACAAAGAGTGTTAATGAATATAAGTAAAGGGAGATGTGTTGTCTAAGAGAAACAATGTGCTTAAGCCTGAACGTATAGGCATCTATAATGCTAGAATATTGTGGAGCTTGAAATGTATCTGAGTTAACTTCACTGTCACTGTTTGTTGTGGATTTGAGTAGTTAACAGGAGGAAGCCGTCTCCTACTGCTTACCCAGGACTGGCGGACTGTAAGAAAGATGCTCTTTTGGCAATTTCTTGAGAAGAACTCCTTGGAAAGAGGGCGGTTGAACCTAGTAGTTAGGAAGGAAAAATATAAGGCTATGAATATGCAAAGAAGTGTGGCATAATGTGTATTCTTCCAGTTTGGTTATGATCTTCCACTTTATACCTTGTGATGTTGAGTTATGAGCCTCTTTTCTGGTTCTGTAGGTACAAAAGGGAGTTAATTGAACAGCAAGCTTCACAGAACTCTGAAAGAATAGTAAAATTGCACAGGTGAGCAAAATCTTGTTTGCCTTTGTTTCATAACTAGGATTACATATAAATATAGACAGAGAGCGTGCAGAGACAGAGAGGATTCCTTGTAACTGTGAGCTACCTGTCATCAAGTCACAAAAGTGATTTGAACTTCCCCAGATACAATGAAGGTACAAATAGGCAACTTGTTTAACAGCGTTCAGTTGTATTCTAGTCATGGGTTGAGACTGTGGGGATATTTTACATTGAAGAGCAGCATAGCAATGAATCACATTTTAAATGTGTTTGTATGTAATACAGTGGTACCTCGGGTTAAGAACTTAATTCGTTCTGGAGGTCTGTTCTTAACCTGAAACTGTTCTTAACCTGAAGCACCACTTTAGCTAATGGGGCCTCCCGCTGCCACCATACCACCACCGCGTGATTTCTGTTCTCTTCCTGAAGCAAAGTTCTTAACCTGAGGTACTATTTCTGGGTTAGCGGAGTCTGTAACCTGAAGCGTCTGTAACCTGAAGCGTATGTAACCCAAGGTACCACTGTATTCAGTACTTGTGAGTTGGATCTAGAGTTCCAAGAGCAGAGTTCTGCTTACAGGATAGGGAGCTCTCGGGCTTTGACTTCTTCTGCCTAGAATGTTCAAAATGCCTTAAACTGACTTTTAAAAATCAAACTGCTACATGTCAGTTGTCCTATTTACTAGATTCCATAGGCTAGGTTTATTATGGTGTTACCACAATAATCTGGTACCTTACCTTTTGGGGTCCCAAAAGATGCATCTCCTCTGTCAATGCAGGTGACACAGATAATAGCACATTTACTTCTTGGTTCCTCCTATAAACAGCTTCACCTATAAACAACATCAGGTTTTCTAAAAGAACAGTTCTGAAATCTACTGACTATTGGTGCATCGCATTGGCAGGACTTTTGTTTTGCAGTAAATGAGACAAATGTTTGGTGGAAATACACTTTAAAAAAATAATTAAAGTTATTAATCTTTCTTTGTTTTTGCTTTCAATCAGGTTAGGTGACTTTGTAGACATTAGCGAAGGTCCGCAGATTCCCAGAACCAGCCTATGTCACCAGTATGAGGTGACAGCTGCTCATAATGTTCCAAGCGCTGAGTCTGAGCTTATGCGGAGATTCCAGGGTCTCTCTGTTCCAATTTACTTAAAGGTAAGTCATCAATTTGCTTATAGATATTTGTGATTGAAGTAAGGAACATAAAAGATGCTTGTTATGTGGATGTGTCTGTCTTACTTTTTTTCCATGATCAGGGCTTCAGTATAAGGTGCGTTAGTAGCTTCAGTTATCCCGTTAGACATGAGATATAGCACTTTTAGTTCCAATGTGTAGTTCCACTACTCTTTTTTGTAGAATAAGTAGAAACTCATTCATTAGAAACCTGTAAATTATAAATGGCACGAAGAGGAGGAAACCAAAAATTGTTATACAGCAGTCATAGAAGTGTTGTTTCCCCCCCACTGTTGTGGAATTACAAATCCCATCATCCCTGACTTTTGGCTGTGCTGGCTGGGGCTGATGGAAGTCCAACAACATTGGAGCATCCCGCCCCCATTAAATGGCTTGATTTTTTGAGTTTTGCCATAGGGAGCCTTCTTATGTTAATTAAATTTCTTTTTAACTTAATTGTTAGGTTTTTGTTCTTTTTTTTAAGGGAAAGGCTGGGTGCAAATGTTATTTAATTAATTAAAGAACAGCTTGAATCACTTTCAGTATCTAAATATAAATTTGACGTAGAAGACCATCTGTTCCTTTTAATGAAGAACAAAAAGCAGCACAGCCTCTTTAAGGTTCCTAACCTAGATGCCCTCTGCAGCAGATTTTGGGCGGGGGGCGGGCAGGGAGGGTATGAGCGGAGAAGAAGGGGAAGTCCTGTCACACAATTGAAATTCTGTTTATGTGATGTTGGATGCTTCCCTAAAGGGGTCTGTTTCCACTTCTCCCAACCAGACCATTTAATACTATTTGTTGGTTGTCCATTTGCAACAGTAATTAGATCTTTCTTGTATAGCGTAGAGAACAACCTTGTTAAAGGTGTTAAACAGCATGTGTGTGTTGGATCAGTGCTCCCTTTGCAGTTTTTGTCAAGAGCTGAAATAAATCTCTCTGTACATACTTAAATAAATTTGTTACAAGCATGTGCTTGCATTTAGGAATCATTTTATGTCCACACACAAACACACACGAGTTGTTTCTATTTATTTGGGGTTTTTAAAAACTCAGTTTACAAAGTCGCTTACAAGAAAAGGTAGCATGATGCAGTTGATACAGATATTTGAAAAAAATTGATACTCTTATTCTGGCACTTAAAGTTAACTTGTTGCTTACTTTCCTTTTTTACATTATATTTTACTAATAAACAAAATAAACCAAATACAAACAGTATAAAGAAATACTGTTACATTTTAAGTTTTATCTTGCTAAATCATACTGGAGAAAGCCATTGAAATCAGTGGGCTTAATTTAGTCATGGCTAACTAGTCCACTGATTACAGTGAGCCAGCTAAGAGTATGACTAAGTTGGATAAAACCCTCTTGAGTAGTTATTGTGAAACTGTAGTGATGGAAGTTCTTGTCAGAGTAGTTGTTGTCATAGGCCATTAAAGTAGACATGGTAAGACATCTGTCTGGCTATATACTTGACTGCACCCTTTCACATTCCAGCTTCATCACACAATATGGCACAGGTTGCGGGAAAGGTCGCGAAACCTAGTAAGTCTAGTTGCATTATTATTATTATTATTATTGTAATTTGAATTATTGACATGCTATCTTTGGGTATTTAATGTTTTATTTCTTAGAGGGCTAAGGATCAAATGTATACAAAAATGCAAATTTTAAATTATCAGTTTTACATGATCCATATTAGCCCATCTGTTGAAAGTTTTGCTGCTTATTTGTAAAACTTCAAAAAGTATGGGAACTTTGCTTTGCAATCCCAATTTGCATATGTAACTAAAACAGAACTGTAATTTCCTCCAATATGGTGTGTATTAATAGAACAGTTTTCAGTGAGAAAGTGTTAATGCCTTAAGATGGAGGAAATTAGCATTTCCCAGGGGAGGTAAAAGCTATGCTGTGTCTTTGCCATTCATACATCAGATGCCACAGTTTTGTTGAGAAATCTCCATGTTGAGAAAAGAGTGGCTGCTAATAGACAGGTTGTTTAATATGAGCGCAGTGTTTCTTCACTTGCTCTAAATGAAGGAGCAAGAAGACTTGGAGCTGGTGCAAGTAGCATATGAGAATATATGCTTCCAGTAAATTATTTACTGTGTTTTGCAGATCAGTGAAGACAAAATGAAAGAAGCAAAAGATGAAAATGAAATCTCAAATACTGAATCGGTCTAAGTCTTTCTAATTTGCACATGGGAAAAACTTGTCAACATTAAATTGTGTTTTCTTTGTAAAGTACCATTTCATTATTCAATCAATCCCCCAAAGAGGACTTCTGACCGTAGGTTTTCATGGACTTGGACAAAAAAGCATTTGTTGGCCCTTGCTCCTACTTCATCAAATCAGAAGTAAGGTGTAAACATAAAAACATCAGTGAAAGTTTTATGGATGGGAAAGTTCACTGGATAGTTGAGTTGGTTAGAGCACAGTGCTGATAATGCCATGGTTGCAAGTTCAGTCCCCATATAGGATAGCTGCATATTCCTGCATGGTAGAAGGTTGGACTTGATGATCCTCAGTGTCCCTTCAAACTCTACAGTTTTATAAGTCTATGTGTTGGCATACCTGCAAGCTTCCACTAAATTATGCCAACAGGATTGTTGCAACAGGAATTGGGAAAGTTGGTTTTAAATCCAGTTAGATAATGATGTCCCCTCTCATCTATAATGTCTGTCCATAGTCTGTAGTCTGAGCACATTCTACAGTTGATATGTAATGGGTTATGTACGTATTTTATATTACCATGGGATATGAAGCCCTGAAGCATCACCACCAAAGGAGGGCTACAAGAGTGACATTAAACCATACATTCTTTGGTGTGGTAACCTGGAGACTTAAAATTCTGCATCAGGAATTGTGTTGCATGAGTTCAAATTCAGTTCATGGTAGATGTTGCTGCTACAGTGCTGTCATGGTGGATGTGTTCTCTACAAGTCAATTAAACATACACATGTTACAGTGTTTTAAATAAACCTGAAGGACACATTCAGATCCAGCTGGAGAAAATTAGTCAAAGAAATGATAAGACTGGAGCACAGATCAGTCTTTCAAAAGTGCAGAGGGCAATGATGTAACCTGTCGCAGCAGTAGAGTGTATTTTGAGCAGCCCCTGCCCCCAGTCTTCAGTAAGACTGACCTTTACCTCCATTTCCATGTAATGGCAGATGATGACTGACTCCATCACTCACCAGCCTCAGCCATCATGGCCAATGGTCAAGGATGATGAGAGCTGTGATTTAGCAATATCCAGAAGAGCACAGGTTCTTCATTCTTGTGTACAGAATTGGCAAGCTGAGTTATCACCTTCAGCCCTTGATATCCCTCAAAATAGAATCCATGCTAGCAGGACAGAGGGAGATGTCTGCCTGAGGTTTTGAAGAGCTCATGCTGGCCATTGACTCACATGGTAAAAATCAGCTCTCTTTATAGATGCAGACCAACTTTCACTTGTACCACACACAGTTGCTTTCCCAGTCATGTTCTCATATTTCCCTACATACTATTGACTAATCAGCAGTAGGTGATCCCTCTTGTCTGCCTCCTTGTATCGTGGCAGCATCTATACATCAGATGCATGGCTGGCACCATTTGTTGATGGGGAGGACTAACCACCTAGCCCCTTTGCCCTCCTTACTGAGGAAGGTGACTGGTTGTGAGGTTGAATTAAAATTTTGGGGATCATTGAGGTAGACAACTCATTGCATCTCCTGCTGCTCAGACTGTCCTGTTTTGAACATACCAGAGCAGTTTTCCATTCATGGGTGTATATGTGAGAACTTGTTGTAGTTGCACATGTACTGTAGATGCACACATCTGCAGCAAGCCTTGGCTTACTCTGAAATCTGCTGCACTAATTTCAGTACCCAAAGCCCACCTTCATTTCCATAGTGGTGGGCTGCTGGGTCTAGGGTGTAAAGTTTCTGGAAACTTTGAAACAGTTGAAGGGGAAAAACTGGGTTTATTTAGGGGGTGGATGACAGAAATGGAAATCTTGCAATATGCAATTACTCCCCCCCCCCCGAGCCAGCTCTGCAGCTATCACATGATGGCAAGAAATGTGTTTTGAGCCTTTTCACTATGTCAGCCTGGGAGCTGGTGCAGCAAAAAGGCATTTTTCTTCCACTCCCGCCCAGGCTGATTTGAACAGGGGCTGTGAATGCAGTGGTCACTATGCTGCTCCATTAAGCCCAGCCACTTGGATTGTCTCTTTAATTTTTTCCACAATTGGATGGAAGTATATATTCATGGAGAAGATGGAAAAATATGAGTGAGTGAGTGAGATGCAGAGGCTGTATTTGAATATCATGTTGCAGGAACAATATATTTGGCAAGCTCCCGAGATTACTCTCCTGTACCATATACCTTTTAAAGTTACATATCTTACAGTATTTGAAAGAACTTCCCCAGCATCAAATCCTAAAATACTTGTTTACTAATCCAGACAAACTCGGTATCAATGCTGTTTCTCTGCCCTTGCCCCACAGATGTGATAATCTGCTTTGTAAACACATGGGCTACAGGTAGCTGTGCTTGTATTGTGCCCTGTTGTGGGTATCCACTTCTGCCTCGGGGTGATGTCCAATCGTCTTAGGACATTGATACTGTCAACAGTGCTTATGCATACTGTTCTATTGTAGAGGAGTATGGCAGCTGCAATGTTCACATGTTCGTATTCAGTAGCTCTATATACCAGTGGCCAACCAGATTCCTATGGGAATCCTGAAACCAAGACCTGTGTGCAACAACACTCTCCCCCCTTACATTTTCCTGCAACTGGTATTAAGAAGCATATAGCCTCTGACACTGAAGGTGGGACATAGCTATCATGGCTAGTAGCCATTGATAGTTTGATCCAGTTGGAGTGTCCGCAGCAGGCCCAAGAGAGTAACCCCACCTAGACTGCATTGCAATAGTGAAATCTTGAGGTTACCCATGTATTAATCACAGTGGCCAGAATAGCCTAGTCCAAGAATGGCTGTAGCTGATAAAAGGTACTCCTAATCACGGAGGCTAACTGAGACCCCAGTAACAAAAGATGGAACCTGGATCACCTCCAAACTCCAAACCTGTTCTTTCAGAGGGCATGCAAATTCATCCAGAACAGACAGTTGATCAATCTTCCACCTACTGGAACCACCCACTCACAGTGCCTCCATCTTCCCAGGGGTTAAGCTCAGTTTATTGACCCTCATCCAATCCACCGCTGCACCCAGACAACAGTCCAGATCATGCACAGCTTCTCCTGACTGAGATGTTATGGTCAGTTAGAGCTGTGAGCATACTGATGACACTTCACTTCTACACTCCTAATGACTGCACCTTGTGGCTTCATGTAGATACTGAACAGCACTGGAGACCAGATCGTGGCCAGACGCTCTCTAGCACAAGGACCAAGGGGTTGAAACCATCTCCCATTGCTGTTGTCTAGGCATGACTATGTGGGTAGGAACAAAACCACTGTAGAACAGTGACTCCAATACCCATCCCACAGAGCTGGTCCATGAGTATACCATGGTCAGTAGTATCAAAAGCCACTGAGAGGCTGAGAAGCAGAGATGTATTCCCCCTGTCCCGCTTTCGATTCAAGACTCAAAGTCATGTCTGAGCCTGGATTGAACCAGATCTCAATACTCCATGTCCTTCAGGAACTTCTGCAGCTGCCCGAGCCACCGTTCTCTCCACCCAACTTACCAAAGGAGGGGGTAATTGCAGCTTGTTAAAAACCATATGGTACAGTGTGAGTTTCTTCAAGAGTCGATATACTACTGCCTGTTCAAGTACAGCAGGCGCCACTCCATTGCACAAAGACACATTCACCACATCATGGATCCACCTGGTCAATGCCATCGCCCAACCTGAACTACTTTTCACCAGCCAGGATGGACCGTGGTCAAGAAAGGAGGAAGCCAGTTGCATGATTGCAAGATTATTGGAGTGTGTGTGTCTTAAGTGCTGTGGAAATGCAATGGGGAATATCTCTGTGGTTACACTAGTGCTTGAAATCCACTTCCAAGCATGAGGCAAAATGAAAGATGCCCAATCACATGACTTGAAAATAAAACCCACACTTTATCAAATGAATAGAAAAAGTCATAGTCACTTGTGCGTGTCCGTGGTCGTAATAAAAGATTTATTGAGAAAGTGGTTTCATTCTGTTGTGGGAAAACACAAACATTTTAGCAAACAAACCTGTATGTGAAGTAGTTATTTTATGTCTTCCCAGCATCAAGGTGGCCCACAGTGGCTGCTTCTTGCTTTCCTTCCACCAGTGGCAGATGTTTTTCCATCTCAGTTCTGGAAATAAGCACCACACACCACTAATGCTAACACGTAGGAGTCAGTTAGAAATAAAATAAACCCCTATCACGATTAGCATTAACAGCATGTGGCCTGAAAGATGAAGTCCTGAGTTGATGAAGCTGCTGCAGTCTTCTCTTTGATTTACCTGTAACATAAAAAGAGCTGTAAACTTAAGGAGGAAATGTATTCTAGCCGGAAAAGAATTTTGGTACAGGGAGCAGACTTTATGGACAATTAATTCCTTCTGTTGCAATTACTCAGGACTGGGTCCCACCTCCCTACTCAGAGTAGACCCTGAAAATAATGGACATTAATAACTTAGGGCCATCAATTTCAGTGGGTATATGCTGAATAGAACTTAGTTGGCTACAACCTATAATAGCTTGTAGCTAGCCATAGTCTATAGAGGGCTAAAATTTCCCCCTCTCTTCCCAGCTTCGGTCTTGTATGTGGGAACCCATTTGCAATCTTGACCCAGGTTTCAAAGGCAGCTTGTGTGGAGCTGGGCTGACCTGAGAGTTTGCGTGACGTGGGTTTCTTGCCATCTGCCTCTTTGGTGAGTGGCCTGCACCTAAACTGCTGTTTGGAGCTTTAATAAAGTTAGTTGTGAAATAATGCTTGTCTTCAGAAGTTTTTCTTTTCTAAAGGAAGTGAATGAGGCTGCATATAATTTTCATAGCAGCCCTTAAATCGCAACTGAAGAGCAATGAGGAAGTGGATGTCATGTTAAGATGCGGTGAGTTAAGCGATAAATGGAAATTGCCTCTTCTTTTCAGTCTAAATTAAGCCAGCTAAATGCAGTTACAAGACACAACTCATTCAAAGGCCCGGAAGAGGCTGTCGCCAAGCATGAGGAACTCATGTAAACAAAAATGCACTGCAGGTGACACAGCATCTGAAGGGAGTGTCGAATAAAGTTACTGCTAGAATTCAGAGTCACCCATTCACTGACAAGGAGATCAAGCACGTACTTTCCCTCCCCTTTCTCTGTTTTATATTGTATTGTTTTTCCTTTGAGAAACCTGAGAAATTAATTATCTGTTGAGCAGAATAACCAAATTTCCCCTTACCCTCCACTCAAATGCATTAATCACTTGGCCCTCAAAGTCATCAGGCTTCTCTAAGTGAAGAACAAAAGTCACTGGGCTTCCTTGAGTATAGCTAAGATGATCCTCACACTCATCTCAAAGTATGTGGTGATCTACCGCCTCACTCAGGCAGATGGGAGGAAAAGAGCTGGCCTCATGCTACCTTCCAGAACCTGCAAACACAAATTCCCACAAAAGAGGTGAGGCTTGCATGGCTCCATTAAAACAAAACCGGCCAACTACAGTGTGGGGGAGATGGAAACAGTGGATTGTTTAGTCCTAGTGATGAAATTGTGAAGATGAAGCTCTCCTTCCACAATTGCCACCACCAACACTTCTGCAGTTCAGATGCATAGGAATTCACCCAAACACCTTATTTTCATTTCATAAAAGATGGACTCTGGGACTGTTGTTTAAATGGTGTAGTTCACCTTCCAGGGGCCCTGGCTGGGGCCCTGTTAAAATGAGTGGGGCTGGGCGTGACTGGGGTGCTTGATTATAATTGGGCTGGATGCACCCAAAAGGTTCTATTCAGCAGTGTTTTTGTGCTAGCGAAAAGCACATGTGCAAGGCAGATGCCACAAATTTCACTGATTTCCTGTTCCATACCATAGTTCTCCATACAATGTCCCATATTCTTCTGGAGGCTCCTCTGACTCTTACAGTTAGAGGGTCCCCCCCCCTTTTTGCAGGTAGAAAGAGCTGCAATGCGTAGGAGGCGCCACTGAAAACCATGTGCTGTACTTGGAACAGAAGTGTAGCCTTTACCAACCTGGTGCTCTCCAGATGATTTGGACCACAACTCCTATCAGCCCCAGCCAGCATAGGGTGTGCTTTCTGAAGGAATTGTAGGAATTGTATAGGAATTGTAGTCAAAAAACCTCTGGAGTTCAAGATGATAAAGGCTGCAGTACTAATGCAAATCCACCATGAAAAACAGTCCAAAGTGCATTTTTTAAATAGGAAACCATGGTTTCCGATGTTCTTTCCTCGCTAACCAAAACTTAAGGGCTAGCTGAAAGCGTTCCGTAGAATCAAGTAGTAAAGCTGTGTCTAGGATATATCATTTCAGGTTGCAACATGGAAAGACTGCATTTGTCTATGCTGCTTCAAAGAGGAATGAATCTTTTCACCTATAGAATCTCAGCCTGTCTGGGAGATGGATTCATCCTAGTCTTCACCCTGCCGTGTTAAGTTTCTGTTTATATGGAGTCAATTTCCACCCATTTAAATGTGCAATACAGCCATGCTCCTCTCAGTTCCAATTCAAGCATGAATTGGTATTATCCAGGAAAAGTTTTACTACTTGATTCTGCTGCAGGTATAAACTGGTCATTAGTTATTTGCTGGAGATATTTCTGTGATATATGTCTCTGAATACGTTCTTAAACATTACATGACATCAATGTACTTAAAACTGCATTTCCTTACCTTTTGAAGTTACTTTCATTAATATTTTGAGCACAAAATATGGGTTTAGCCATGCTTACTCAGGAGTAACCAGCAAACTTACAACCTTCTTTATCATAGTAAATGCTCAACCGGTACTTTCCCCAATAAATCTAGACACGTACTTGACTGAGTTCACTGCATGTGTGATGGGTGTATAAGAGATAAAATCCTCTTTACAATCTAGATTACTTTTGCTCATCTAAAGATTTACTTCATTATAGAAATATCTGTCAAGTTACTTGCATTTTGATAAAATAAAACTGAACCTGCATACGAAAAGACTCCAAACTTGCATTGTAAATCACTATAATATATCTCTATAGGCATTTGGTTATTTTAATATTATAAATCATGTTTTTGTAAAGATCACCCTCAAGATGTAAGTATGGATACATGTTCTAAATGAGTTTTTAAAGGATGTTCTTGATAAAGGAATGTTGCAAACAGGAGTTGTATCTCAAGAGGACCATGCAGGAGTCTTGTTAAAATCAACAGGACAAATTAGTTCTGACTACCTCATCCCAATAATTCCTATGGGTCTTAATTATAACCTTTGTAATTGGATCATGGTGTACTGATTTGTGGCCCTAATATGTAGCAAGCTAAAGCAAACTTGTAAAACCACCTTATAAAACGAATAAAATCTGATGTATTTGCACAGCCACTTCTGTAGATATAGTCAAATGTTAAATCACCTGCAAGACCCCCAAGGCTGTCAGTTGCTTGTTACTTGAACACAATTCTTTAAAGCATTGGCCCTATTTCTTGGCTTTATTGGCATAATATAATTTAAAGGGCACCCCAAATGATAGACACTGTTGGTTTGTATGACAGTCTCTTGTTTTTAAGAGCTTATTTATATTTATGTTTTCACGTTGTCTTAAGCCTGTCAGTCTGGGTGAAGTTCTACATATGTCTGGGGTTGATTTTTAACCACCTTGACTCTTTCCCCATGCCCTATTTCCTTGTGTGTTGTAATTTTTTTAAAAATCTCTCTTTTAAAAAACATAAATACTCCTACCTGTTTGTTGCAGGCTGTTTCCTCATAGACACAAAGCAAAGAGGCCACAGACTTCCTTTCGATCCACTTCGTGCGCACCGAAAATCACACAATGTTCATGTCCTTTTCTCTTTCTCCCTCTCTTGAAGGGAGAGAAAAAGAATAAAAGCCCACATACACAAAGAAAGCACATGTTAACAGTGCCCTGGAAGTGGCTGGCATTGACCCTGTGCTGTGCATCCTTGTAGAGCAAGTTAAGCAAAGAAAGCCAGCCCCTAACAACCTTGGGACATTTTATAAGTCATGAAGGTGACTCATCCCCTTGCTTTCAGTAAATCCCCTGACCTCTTTTTTCACTCTTCTCAGAATGTGTGTGTGTGCGCGCGCGTGCGTGTGTGTGACAAAAATCCCATGCAATGTTAGAAAATGTACTGTGTACTTTCTGTAGACTATGTAATTTCTGTAGGCTATTTTTAAAAAGAGTAATGAATGCAAATGGGTTGCTTCTATTTATTATTTACTTTATACATAAATTTCTAAAGCACTAAATCAAGAAAAAGAAAAAAATATTCTCAAAGCAATGTACATAAAACCAAAGGTAAGACTATAAATGAGCAAAGATCAGAAGAACATAATACTTGGTTACATGTCAAGGGTAGTTTGGGCCAATAATATATGCCTTACGCTGACCTCTTAAACTAAGCCGCTAAATAGTTAATGGTTCTCTGTAAGAGATGATCTGACCCATTAGCTGCCTTCCTTGCAAATATACAGAGGAAGGTTGGAAAGCCATCTTCAGGGGTTATGGGTTGATTTCAATGGGACTAATGCATGACTAAGGTGGTCATGTGTCCTACCTTACAGAGGATAACCCTCTCATTGGATGGTTTGTCAGAGGATAGCTCTCTATTGGAAGGTGTCCTCTGTTTGAGGACTATCCAGTCCAAGTACGGTTAAAGAGGAGGAAACAAAAAAAGGACAACAGGAGCCTTTAAGTTGCTCAGCAGCAGCACCTGGCCAGCAGACAGGTCACCTGGACACACCCTTCCCTGTTATGCTGAGGTGCATTGTATTTCTATTTATAGTGATTATTTCTAAATGTGTGTCTATACTTATAAATTAACACATGGTGACAAAAATCCTATCATTTTTTTGCAATGTATAACTGGCTACCCTAGTTCAGAACTTCCATCAAACCGAAGAGAGTGCTACCTTAAGATTATAAAACAGTTTAAGGGATTGTAATACTGCATTTTTTAAATTTTGTAACCTACCCTGGGACCTTATGGTGAAGGCCAGGTAAGAACTGAGAAAAACACAGAAAGAAAGTATGCCACCTTGGGCTCCAAGATGGAAAAGGTGTAAGAGAAAGAAATTATACATACATACATACATACATACATACATACTAAATCTGGTTCCATAATCATGGAACATTTATTGTTGCAATAAGAAGGACGTTGAGCCACACATAAGAATGACGTGATGTTTAATTTGACAAGGCTGTTGGAGGTAATACTAAAATGCCAATATATCTAGCAG